TTAAAAAAAAAATATAGAACCTTATAACAAATAGGAATCTATGTAAAGCAATATTATATTACTTTAAGTCACGATTGTCAATGAAATATGGATAGATGAATAACTACTAATGGTTACCTGACTCACGTTAGGGAAAGTAAAGGCTGCTGGGCATAGTGCTGACCACATTATTCTTACATATGACGAGGTCAACGAAACAGGTGAACTCTACTTCATCTGCCCTATAGACCTAAAAGCTTAATTGATACTTTACTGCATAAAGATTAACGTATTATAGATTTCTTTGTGTTCAATACTAATTTATGCCACAGGGTTTTTAGATCTTTGTATTTTAGCCAGGATAATGTTTTCGAATTCTATTAATTAATATTATTATTTAGCAATGTAAATAATTGCTTCAAGTTACGGAATTTCTTGGAGTTGTTTCTTGGTGTTTTATTTACTGATGTAATTAATGTTTGTTATTGTTTTATTGATTGTGTAGCTTTAGGATTTTAATTTTGTGAGAAGTTTTTAAGTATTTAGAAATAACACATTATGAAAGTAATATAAATTGATTGCATTGTAGCTATGATCGTTCACGCGATGATTGAGATTGTATATTTGTATGGTCTTTCGATTGTGTTTACATATCATATACCATGTAGATTCACTCGGCATCTATCGCAAAATTTAATCCTGAAAATGTGTTTGCGTAACACCTGTACGCAATATATGACAAGTTGGAAGCAAATTCAATTCAACCTTGGCCTAGTGGGTTTAAAACTGATGACTGAGTCAATATGTTAATTGACATTTTTTCACTCAACTTGTTAACTTTGGAATTGTTAACCTGATTTTTGTGTACACGTACTATCAACAACACCTGTTACAACAGCGTTAAAAACCTATAGGGCTTGGAAGTTATAATGTTTAGATGATTTAAAGCCAATACCGTATTTTAAACGTTTTACAAATTGGTAGCACGAGTGGGGTCAATGCTTTAGTCTAGGTAAATTTATGTTTTTCTGCTAGTAAAGTAAAGTTTCCCTTTCAAACCTGACGGTCTATGGGGCAAGTGAAGTAGAGTTCACTTGTTTCTGTGACCTCGGCATATGAAGAGACAGTGTGGTCAGCACTATGCCCAGCCGCCTTTACTTTCCCTAACTTAAGTTAGGTACCCATCAGAGTTGGGTGGACACAGGGACGGTCTACTGACTTGAACCCGGATTCGAACTCGAGACTTACGGGTTAGCAGTCCAGCTCTCTACCGCTAGACCACTCCATCCCATGTTTTTCTGCTAGGGCTAGGTTAATTTAGATAACTTTTTTATAGGCCCTTTTGGAACCATATGTGTTTAGTTTATGTTTAGTGTAGGAATTGTTTTTGTTTAAACACCCAATTCGGACGAGATGGCGGGGCACCCAATGAACATCATTTTCGTACCACCCAGAGAGATTAAAATCCAGAGGTTGCATGGAGACAGCCATGATGTTATTTATGCAAACTATGTTTTGAAGTGTGGCTCCACTGTGCTTTTTGTCCTGAATGTTAGTTATTGTTGTATTAGGGACTATTTTCTTGTGCGTAGGATTGGTATTAGTTCGTGAATGTAGTGTGTGGACAGTTAGGGATGTCGAGGCCTGTGTGTTGAAGTATTTCTGTGTTGACGGTAGTCCGAAATTGGGTGTTTTGTTACGTTAAAGTCTGTTTTGATTAGTCGTGTTTTAAGTTCTGTTTTGTTTTGTGTATGTAGTTTTTCTAATCTATTCTTTTTTTTCCATTTTTATTATCGGTTCCATTTGTTTAATAAATTTAAAAAATTGTTAAAGGTTTTTTTATTTTTTTTAATTTTATTTAGACTAAGGTTAAGGATAAGATTTAACCACCGTGGCTCTACAACGGTTGCACTGACTGGACAGATTATTTAGTTAAGCCCCTCCCTAGCAGTATTTCTTCCAGACTTTTTTCTCCGAGGGGGGGGGTGCACTTGATATTTTCATTTTCCGGGGGGGGGGGGGACACTGGTAAAAGTATATATTTTCTATATAAATTCCATTTCGTTGGGGGGGGGGGCGGTAGTCTTTCACCGGAGGGGGGGGGAGGGACCGAAGAGATGCCTGGATGAAACTCTGCCCCCTAGCAGAGCTTACATCTGTGGTGTTGATGATGACGATGTGGAAAGGTTGATAGTGGTATTCTGCTGAACGTGTGGAAAGGTTGATAGTGGTATTCTGGTGACCGTGTAGAGAGGTTGATGGTGGTGTATGAGGCTAACACCGTATTTTTAAACTGCTGTGTATGTCACGCTAACTTCTCCACTTTAGCCGTTCGAGTTTTATTTTGATACAGGTGAGCACTAGTTTAAAAATACCGAGCTAACGTGTTAAAAGAAACGCTTCGATGATTCAGGTATGTAAAACGTTTTCAGACAGAAATACATTATTTGTGTTTAAACATAGGCTCACTCTTAGTATTTTTACTATCTCGTATTTACGAAGTATAGACAAAGTCTTGTAATCGTGCAAAAAAAAAATCGAGATTTTTACAAATCTCGACGTTTTACACCTCACTGATACGGAAAAACATAATTTTGCAATCTTGTCCGTATGTCTGTGTGTCTGTCTGTCTGTGTGTGTGTGTGTGTGTGTCTGTCTGTCTGTGTGTAGACACGATAACTTGAGTACCGTTACAGCTAGGTTGATGAAAGTTCATATATAAGTATTATATCAAAATCGTAGATCCTGATCAGCTTTTAAGCTATTTCCCATAACCGGAAGTGGTACTTTTTCTACTTTGAATTTTTCAAAAGCCTATAACTTGAGTACTATTTCAGATAGATGAATGAAATTTCACATGTTATTAAAGGATCTAATTCTCTACAATCTGTTAAAGTTTGAGTAATTTCCGTTGACCGGAAGTACTAATTTACGCTATTTCCGATTTCTCAAAAAACGCATGTAAATTTATAAAGTACTAACAATATTGCGCACTATTATGCACATTTTGTTTTGGCGTTCGCTTGGTGCGCAATTCTTTTTTCTATGAGATTCTATTCTATTTTTAAAAGTTTCAGTAATTAAAAATCATGTCTATTTTCCAAGTTATATAAAAATATTCGAGAAAGTTTAGGAAGATCACTCCCTGTTTATTTGAAAAAGAAAGTTGCATTAAATAATGTTGTGTAGTAAAATAGATTTAGAAATTGTCAGTCTCTGCGGACAAAGCAAAATGTGGAGTTCTGCTTCTTTTCGAATGTAATTAGAATTGGTATAAAACGTTGATGGATAATCTCATCAGTATTTTTTTATTAAAATGTGGAAGGGGAGAAATAAAAACGCGCAGCAATGTATAGATATTATTAAATGGTTTCTTCTCTTTCGTTCTTAATTTTAGTGTTTGAGGGATCCCCTCCAACACAATTAAGTATGCGTATCAACTGGTTTTGCGCCATTGTCCAACCAAAAACAAGCTAGGGGTCATCTGTCCGAGGGTCATCTGTCCGAGGGTTCGAACTCGAGACTTTTAAATTTGGCAACAATTACCGACTCGACCACGCCGACCCCCTATAAATGTTCTGAATGTTAATTATTTTCAATAATACTTAGGTGATTTTTATTAAGACATCTGTACGACGCTTCAATCATGTAAAATCACTTCTAAACCACAAGGACCACACAGAGTGAACTTGTTGGAACTCGGAGCACGCAAAAGTTAAAACGAACAGATGTCTTTCATTAAACCCCCACCAAACCCCACTCTCCCCACTCCGCTCATAACACAGGACGTTGTCCTAGCCTTCTCCCACTATCGTCTCTACGTGTGGATACTGTGGCCTTTACACAAGGCGTGTTTTCATATACAGGCTTGCGATCCAAACACTGGCCCCCTACACCCTCCACTCTAGGAAAAACTATATTGGGGACCTGCAGATCTGGAGACCACAGTCCAGTTCATCCACGAAGTTATACTTGTTGTTTAAATACTCCACCTTAAACTCAATTAAGAACGCAGAAGAAGAAGAATTGTCGGACTCACAATATTTGTTACTCAGGTCATTAACCACAATTTTGTGTATGTCGAAGAAACTAGATCGAAACATTGTATTTACTTGTAATAGAGCTTGTAAGTATTCATTCAACTTCTCGCTATCTTACTTGCCAGCTAGGATTTTTCAAGCCAAATCTGAATAATATATTTACTTTTAATCTTTAAAAAAAAAATTAGAAAGTTAAAAAACAAACATACGTCCGTTATTGTTAAGATATTTAAAATACTAAATAATGAAAATTATAGACTACATGATATAGGCTAGCTTAAAGAAAAATATATAAACATAGCCAATGTTAAATTATTATTTTTTTTATTAAAGAGGCGTACAGTTAGTTATTGTTTATTGGAATCCATAACAAGTTGTCCTTAATATAGTAACAATATTAATATAATATTAATAACCTAGGCATACAGGTACTTTGATTTTATTCTCATTAAAAAAAAATATAAGTGTTGCATTTTAGAGTACACTTTGATATTTTAAAATCTTTAAAAATCCTTAAAGCGAGACCCGCCGTGTTTTGTTTTTGTTTTTTTATTTTATTTTTATTATTTATTTATTTTTAGTTTCAATCATGTTTAAAACAAATTATTTTGCTAGTAAATTTAAATCTCCCTCTGGCTAACGAGATATCGAATTTTAAACGAGAGAGACCGAGACTTTCAGCCCTATTACCTCTGATTTCTGCGGTACTTATCACTCGCTAGTTCTTTTCGACACCTTCACAAACAACTCACTGAAGCTTCACTTTTCACACATTTGAACTTATCACACCGTTTAACACATTATCAGGCGCTAGTTTATTTTAAGATTTACCTGAGTCAGCAAAAAGTAGTTCAACTGATTAGACGTTTAAGATACGAGCAAGCCTACATCGGGTGTTAATGAACAGCTGATTGAACTTTTTAAAGCGAGTTTTTATGTAACTGCCAAAAACGCAAGTGGATGTACAGCAGAGGTTTTTTATAAACAACATTATGGGGTAATTTAGATCAAGTGCACACGGCGCGTTTTGCAAGCTTTTTAAAGATCAGGTATAGTTGTTTTTTTTAACGTAGTTTCCCGTGGTAAATAAATCTTAAAGTCTGTACAGTTTAGGCTGAAGGCTGCTTTGTGTAAATCTTCAGATTGACTGCTGCCTTACGAAGACTTCAGATAAAAGGCATTCTGCCATTTTGTATTAAGTCCTAATCACTTAAATACAGTGTTATCTAAATGCTAATATATGTAAACTTGTGGCTACTTTAAATACACTGGCAAACAACCATTGTATATAAACTAGTGACTAATGGCTATAATATAACCTATAGCCAAACAGCTAGAGAGGGATTCACCATGCCAGCACTTCTAGCTGTGTGGGATTATGCAGCAATTGTTGGCTATTTTGTTCTAGTTTTGGCTGTTGGGATATGGGTAAGTGTTCTTTTTTTAATTCTTTTTTGGAATATATTATGTAACTCTCTTTTAGGCTTTGGCGTTTTTAACGTGGATTAGTATATATTTTAGCTTTAGTTTTAAGAATCTGGATTACTAGGGCTTTTTTATGTTAAAATGTTGATTAGTAATTGTTTTTTTTTTTAGTTTTGGCTGTTAGAATGTGGATTGGTAGTTGTTGTTTGTATTTTTTTCTATTAAAATGTTGATTAGCAGAGATTTTTTTTTTACATTTGGCTGTGAGAATGTGGATTAGTAGAAATTTAAATTTAGCAGTTATAATGTGGAATAGTAGAATTTTAAATTTTGCTGTTAGAATGACGTGGATTAGTAGGTTTTTTATCTTTGGCTGTTGGAAGGTTGATTAGTAACTTTTATTAGATTTTGGTTGTTAGAATGTGTTGTAATTTTTTAAATTTAGTTTAGGAAGTTGAAACTTAGGCTAAATCGTTCAAGTATTTGCTTTTGGAAAATGGATAAATTCTTAGTTTGATTTAGTTAAGTATTATTTTAGTAAGCTTCTAGATCGCCTTAGCTTAGACTGTTTGAAAAAAAGTGCGTATAAAGGTTACAAATAGTTGTGTTTCTTAAAACCCAATATATTTTAGGATATTAAACTTAGAGTTATAAACAACGAGAGATTCGTTACAACAAGCCATGAAAAAGCTATAACTTATGCTAATTCATAGATTATTTCAAAGTGTTCGTGTTTTTTTAATATACCTAAATGTGTCTTTAAAAATTCCGCATTTCAGTCGTCATGTCGCCCACACAGGAGCAGCGCCACTGGATATTTTTTGGCGGGGAAAACAATGCACTGGTTTCCGGTAAGTGAAATCTACGGAATTTTTTTTTACATTGTTGGCACATAAAAGTGTAAATACAACTGTTTTTTTAATAAATTAAAATCTATTTAATTATTTTAAAATATATTTCAATTCAATAATCTTATTGTACCTTATTATTAATGACATCTTGGTTGCTAAAATAAACATTACTTGACGATGAAAATAAAGTAAAATATGTTTAATTTTATTTAAATATGTTTCAACTTTTCAATCTTATTATGCTAAATATGTGACATATTCGTCGCCAAAATGCAAATATTTGATGATTAAACAATAATTTTAATTGTTTGTTAACGACAAAATTGATAGTAGAACATGTGGTTTCATTATTCTCCCACTATTGCTTCTAAACTAATTTCGTGTATACAATGTTTTGGCTCACAATTACAACTGTTTTTCACATTGGATAAATAGGTCGGTGCCTCCATCTTTGCCAGCAATGTCGGAGCTCCAATGTTCATTGGTCTAGCCGGGACGGCGGCAGCTTCCGGTTTCTCGTGTGCTATTTATGAGTGGCATGTAAGTGTGTGTGTGTGGGGGGGGGGGGGGGGGGGGGTTGAGGGGGGGGGGCGTTAATTAAGATTTATTTTAACTATTAAATATTACCTTTCTTTACATTATTCGGCGTAGTCGAATGATAGAGTATTGGTATGTTAACTCGAAAGTCTCGAGTACGAATCAGGATTCAAGTCTGTAAAGGTTCTTGAGTCCATCCAGCTCTTATGGGTACCTGACTCACCTTACAGAAAGTTAAGCCGGCTGGGCATAGTGCTGACCACACTATTTCTGCATATGTCGATGTCAAAGAAACAGGTGAACTTTACTTCACGTGCCCTATATACCCTATGGTTTGACAGCGAACTTAACTACTTACTATAAACAAAATATCGTTTTAAGAAGCAAACTATCTTCTGAAGTATTACAGTATGTAATAGTTACTTGTATTTAAATTAAAAAAAACTACATAGAGGTTGGACTAAATTCTCTTTGGCACCTTTTGCAGCAAATCTTTACATAGATATGTAACTTGAAATAATAACCATCTAGACACGCAAAACTTGATAAACATAATAAACCTAAATGTTCGAAATTTATTACAACAACAGATGATTAGGTAACAATGTTTTTTTTCTTTTTTAGGCTGTCTATTTACTGATAGCGTTAGGATGGGTATTCGTTCCTGTCTACGTCTCCAGTGGGGTGAGGATTTGTAGTTAAAAACAACTGGCATATAGCTAAATAAATGATTTTTTTCATGCATTATACATATTGTATGTATACATATATATATATATATATATATATATATATATATATATATATATATATATATATATATATATATATATTTATTTATATATAAATATGATTGTTTTAACTACACTTTCTATATTTTACCTTAAGCAACGTAGCACATATTATATTTTTGTGATCTTGTAACTTTTCGGTTTTGCATATAAAGTATAGAGGAAATATTGTAATCGTGCTAAGTTTTGAGATTTTTACAAATTTCGACGTAAAAGCCCTCCCTGAGTTGAATTTTTTTGTTGTTGCAATTTTGTCTCTTGGTCTGTGTGCCTGTGTGTGTGTGTGTGTGTGTGTCTCTGTGTGTGTCTGTCTCACTGTGATAACCTAAGTACAATTTCAGGCCTTCACAATGCCGGAGTATCTAAAGAAACGTTTTGGAGGTGTACGACTTAGAATCTACCTCTCAGTGTTCGCCTTCGTGTTGTATGTGTTAACCAAGATTTCAGTGAGTCATTAATTTTAACAACTTAAAGTGTAGCCTACATACATTAATGGGATGTGCCAATGCATTTTCTACGACAATATATTTCTAAATACATCAACAAACGATGACTTGAAAAAGAAGAAATAAATTTCTTTTCTAAATATTACTGGCGTTATCAACTCCAGCATAGTTATAAAAATCAAGACTACAAGATTTATAATTAGAACTTTTATCTTGCTATTTTTCAACTAATTTCATCTATGCTATAGATAAGTAAATAACTTGCCCTAATATCTGCACAACAATAACACAATTCCATTTTCAGTCGGAAATCTTTTCTGGAGCTATTTTCATGCAACAATTCCTGGGCTGGAACTTATACGCTTGTATTGCGGTCATCTTGTTGGTCACTGGGGTCTATACCATTGTTGGTAGGTATATTTGACCAACTAATACAAACTTTCGTATTTATATTTGACCAACTAATACAAACGTTCGTCTGTTTATTTGACCTACTAATACAATCATTCGTATGCATATTTGACCAACTAATAAAATCATTCGTATGCATATTTGACCAACTAATACAATCATTCGTATGCATATTTGACCAACTAATACAATCATTCAGTGATATATGTGATTAACTAATACAATCGTTTGTATGTATGTTAGGTCAACTAATACAATCATTCGAGAGCAAATTAGACCAACTAATTTTATCATTCGTGTGTACATTAAACCAACTAATATATTTATATGAATTTTTTGTAAACAAACCAGTCATTGGTAGGATTATTCCCCCACCTAACACTATCATTGGTACGTAGCCTATATTTGGCTCATTTAAAAAAATAAATAAGATGCAAAGTTTATTAACTGATATAGTCATTAGTATGTATATTTGACCAACTCTAAATGATCATCGCATCATGAACCCTGTCGTTACATGGTCTAATTAACAAGAGTGCGATATGATTATTCTCGCTATCGTATTTGTAGCACCTTAATCTTAATTTTAAACAAAATTCTTAAAGTGTGTGTGTGTGTGAGTCTGTGTGTCTGTGTGTGTGTGTGTCTGTGTGTGTGTGTGTGCGTGTGAAAAAAATAAATTCCCACCTCACAACATAATTACGTAACACTTGGCAAAGATTGCTATTTAAATGTGCAAGAAAAATTTAACTTATAATGGTAATTTGTTTACAATCTCTAGTATTTAATATATAGCATTTTACCACATGAAATATTTAAGCATTCATCACGTCAACCTACGGCATGCTCGTCATCTTTGTAATCTGAATAGCTTACGTCAACAATTATACTCTCCAGGTGGGCTAACAGCTGTCATTTACACAGATACGCTTCAAGCGGTTATTTTACTTATCGGAGCAACCACACTTTTTATCATAAGTAAGGGTTTTTACATTTATTTATTAGTAGCTACTGGTTTAAATAATTGAATTTCTTTTTACAAATCCTAATTACGAATAACTTTATTTCTTTTCATTATATAAGTTATATGAACGATTTAAATTGAGAAATATATATATATATATATATATATATATATATATTGTAACGGACACCTATCTACCAGCCAGATAGATGGTGAACGCCCCCGGATTCTTTCTTGGGGTTATATGCAAATGACTTAAAGCCTAAATGAATGAACACTAACTCAACAACACACTAGGGCTCTATTTCGATGTCTAGGGAAAACTAGTGATACTATTGAAGTTAACAACTCATCCAATCTGCATACAACCTTTAATAAGCGAACACAGTTGTGGCAGATCACAAGGTTAAACAAGATAAAATATTTAGTTTAGAAAATAACAAAACCCAACTTACAAAGCGTAAGAAAAAATACTATCACAGATTCTAACACTGTATAAAAAAAACCACTGGTCACACAACACTGCTATAGCATCAAGAATCACTTGGCCTCAAGTAATATAATACTAGAATACTAAAACAACTTAAGAATGCATAGCACACTCAGGACTTAAGTTCTCTCACGTTCAATGGTCAGAATGAATTGCCGGACAATATGGACGGCCTGGTCAAGATGGACTGCCTCTTGCTGCCTGTGGGCGATCTAGTTAAAAACTTAGGCAACAGGGGAGATTATCCTCAACTCATGTGGCCATTGGTTGGGGTGGTCATCTGATCTGAATCAATCAATCAGATCTTGATGGAAAATTTCTGAGTCTTAGACACTCTTAATAAGACAGTGGAAAAAACCCGGTTGTTGCACCATCAATCCATATATGGTATTATAACACTGTCAAACTAAAAATAAAACATGACTAGACCTAAGTAGGTCACATCCCCTCCCTTTTTGGAAGTGACAGATAGGTTCCACAAAAACATACATAAGGAACCAATCTGGCAATGAAATAAAAAAAATGTTCTACAAATGTAGCCAATCAAAATCTTAATACCAGATGAAAACATCCCTGGACATAAAAGGGAAGTAACTCAAACTTTTACAATTGGTGAAAGGGGAGTAACCCTTCAAAAAATAATTATACATCAAAATCCCTCAGAATAGGGGTATTACAATATTTCCATGTGGATATTAAAGGTGGTAAACCCGCCAGGGTAAGACCTTTATTTCAATGACTAGCTACAACATCAACTGAGTCATATGAGACATATTATCATAAAAGATTACATATAATCAAAAACCACCTTTAATTAAGGTTCACCTGAAAATAAACAAAATATTCAACATGATTGTCATTTTGAAAAAATTCAAAACTCATACCACCCACTCATGTGAGCGTCACCCAAACAAAACTTGTGAATGGTCCCAATGAACCACAAAACATGTCACATGATCAATGTGTGTAATAAGATTTTACATCCTTGACAAACAATCAACCACAACATTATCAATACCCTTAATGTGTGAAATTTCCAGATTAAAATTTTGGAAATATAAACACCATCTCAATATTCTTTGATTCTTCTGTCCTAACTTAGAGGTAAATTTCAGGGGATCATGGTCAGAAAACACTCTGACTGGATTGGTTGAAGAAGAGACATAGACTTCAAAATGTTGTAAGGACAAAACCAAAGCTAAAGCTTCTTTTTCAATAGTAGACTAATTCTTTTGGTTCTCATTTAACTTCCTGGAAAAAAAACAATTGGATGGTCAATCCCCATGTTGTCTTCTTGAAATAAGACTGAGCCAATGGCTAAGTTGCTAGCATCAATGGCAAGTTTAAAGGGCTTGCTGAAATCTGGTGCAGCCATAACAGGAGCATTAGATAAAAATGACTTAATGGTTAAAAAAGCTTCATGACATTTATTTGACCATTCAAACTCAACACCCTTTTTCAATAATGCAGTAAGAGGTTCAGCAACAGCTGAAAAGTTTTGACAGAACCGCCTATAGTAACCAGCCATCCCAAGGAACTTTTTGATTTCTTTACAATTTTTGGGAGGAGGCAACCTTACAATAGCATCTACTTTAGCTTCAATGGGCCTAACTTGGTTCGTTCCCACTTGATAACCCAAATAGGTAATTGAACCTTTACAGAAATCACTTTTATGCAGGTTTACAGTAAAATTCACTTCAGACAATTTTCTAAAAAGGTTAGTCAACTGAACAATATGTTCTTCAAAAGTATTAGAAAATACAACTATATCATCTATGTAGGCCTCACATTGGTCTATGTCAGCAATGACAGAGTTAATGACCCGCTGGAAAGTTTGACCAGCATTTCGCATACCAAAGGGCATACGTTTGTATCTATAAAAACCATTAGGGGTTACAAAAGCAGATATTTCTTTTGCACGGTCAGATAAGGGGATTTGCCAGTATCCTGAAAGTAAATCAATTTTGGAAATTCTTAGCTTGACCAACTTTATCAATAACGTCTTCTATTCGAGGTAATGGATAGGAATCAGCTTTGGTGAGCGCATTTACCTTCCTAAAGTCGGTCACAAACCTGAAAGATCCACCGTCTTTCGGTACTAGGAGACATGGGGAACTCCAGTTGCTGAAACTGGGTTCAATGATATCATTCTTGAGCATATAATCAATTTCATCTTTTATCAAAACAGCTTTTTCCGGGTTAACTCTATAGGGGTGTTGTTTGATGGGTTTTGCGTCACCTACGTCTACATCATGAGGTGGTACCTTCGCTTCTTTGGGGACATCCCCAAAAATAGAGGGAAATGTCTCAAATAACTGGGACAATTTATGGCTTTCCTCTGTGGACAAATGCATAAGGTGGTCATTTAGATGATCTAAAAAGGAAGAATTTACCAATTTTGGGGGTTTCAATTTATCATGTATCACATCATCAGAAACATTTGAACATACAGGTAAAGTAATTTTAGCTGTGGAATGAAAATTGTTACAATTATCATAATACTTTTTCAGTGAGTTAACATGATACACTGTCTGTTTCTTTCTTCTGTCAGGCGTATTGACAACATAGTTCAATTCACTTAATTTTGAATGCACAGTAAATGGTCCACAATATCTTAAGGATAACGCATTGTTCAGATTAGGCACTAGCACAAGAACTTTCTCGCCTGGATTGAATGTTCGTTTACGAGAACTCTTATCATACAGTCCTTTCATTCTCACTTGGGCCTTTCTTAAGTTCTTGTGAGCCATTTCGCACACGGCTTTCAGTCGAACGTGAAAATCGTCAAAGTTTTCCACTGGATGATCACTGGTACCTGTCCAACGCTCGTGGATCAGCTTCAGGGGACCACGGACAGAATGTCCAAACACAAGTTGAAAAGGAGAGTAACCTAAAGCTTCCTGGACACAGTCCCTCGCGGCGAAAATAATCCATGGAACAGTCTCATCCCATTGGGTGTTACTTTTAGCGAATGTTCTTAGCATGGATTTTAGGGTCTGGTGGAACCTCTCAAGTACGCCTTGAGACTGAGGGTGGTAGGCTGAGCTGGTGATGTGGGTAACGCCTAGCTTGGCTAGCGCTTCCTGAAAATGGTGACTGGTGAAGTTGCTGCCTTGATCTGTTTGAACGATTCTAGGTAATCCAAAGGTAGTGAAGAACCGAGTCATGGCTCTGACTACAGTCTTTGCCTTAATGTTCCGTAAGGGGAACGCCTCGGGAAAACGGGTACTTGAACACATAAAAGTAAGTAGGTACTCGTTGCCCGCCTTGGTTTTAGGCAAGGGACCTACACAGTCCATGACAATTTTAGAAAAGGGTTCTTCTAATACATGAATCGGACTCAAAGGGGCCTTAGGAATTTTCTGGTTTGGCTTTCCGGCCAACTGACAGTTCGTGCAACTTTTGCAGTACGCGACACATCATTTCTCATTTTGGGCCAAAAGAACAGTTCTTTGATCTTCGCCGTCGTTTTAGTGACTCCTGGGTGCGCTGACATTGGATGGTCATGTGCCAGTTTCAGTATTTCATGCCGATAAGGTGGAGGTACCCACAGCTGGTTTTTACCCAACCATGGTTCGGCTGGTGAGACATCCACTGGTACAGAGCGACGAAAGAAGAGGCCGTTCTCGGAGAAATATTCCCCATCGTCAGATGAGAGAGATTTTTCGACCATTGCTTTGAGCTCCGCGTCGACTTGTTGAGCTTTAATGATGTCTTCCTGAGATATCCTCAGGGGTAAGCCCAGGCTTGTGTTCTCTGGAAGCATAGACTCCAGTTTGGGAGTCGAATTTCTTGACGATGATGGTAGGTGAGGTTCAGACGTTGTGTCAGCCAATTGTTTGGTCTGGCTTCTTGTCACCACACATGCTGGATACAGTTCATTATCATTATCTGGAACTGTTGACAAAGGGTTTTGAACCGTATAGGGGTATACTTTGCTTCCTGCAAGGTCATTCCCTAGAAGTAGGTGTACTCCTGGGACAGGAATACTATCTATCACACCTAAAATGACTTCGCCTTCGACGAGATGATGTTTCAGGGCAAACTTGTGTAGAGGGACGACAGTAGATTTTGTCGCCACTCCCTGGATAATGGAAACATTTCCGGTGTTCGTCTCCGGTGTAATGTCCATTGAACTTTTCAAAAGAAGTGACTGTGACGCTCCTGTGTCTCTTAGGACGGTGATATTCCGCTGAGACAACGGATCACCTGGTTTGCTAATGACAGCTTCTGTAATGAAAGATGAAAAGTCAACCTTTCTCGATCCCTCGAGATCGGTAGACTCGGAAGAAATTGGATGGTGGCGTGAACAATCAAAATGTGACTGCACATAATGTGTGGAGACTTGACTGCCTTCTTGCGGACACTTAGGGTTAGTGTCCCTTAGAATTCTAGAGTTCATATTTGAACCGGTTGCTTGAGGGGATAGAGCATAGTGCGCAGAGGTACGCACCACCTCTCTGTTAAATTGAAGACGTTTGTAGCAGTCCTTGACATGGTGACCAGGTCTTTTGCAGAACTGGCATACTGCTCGACGATTGAGAGTTGATCTTGGTTTCTCTCTGGACTGTGATGCCTTCAAGTGTTGGCCAACAGGATGATTGCTGCCAAAAAGGGGAAGCACGGGGTTGAGGCGGTTTCCTGACACTGGTGGTTTCTTATGCACCAACATATATGTGTCAGCCGACTCAGCAGCCTTCTGGATGTCAATTATCTTGTTATCCAGTATGTGTAGTCGTATGTCTTCAGGCAGGGACTTTAGGAATTCTTCCCTTAGGATAAGTGACCTGAGTTTCTCAAACTCAGAAACTTCCTCAGAGTGTAGCCACCTTGAGAAAATTTTCTCTTTTTCAAAGAGAAATTCCACATATGATTGAGTGGGCAGCTTGCGGAGTGCTCGGAATTTTATCCGATAGGCCTCGGGCGTCAGTTCGTAGGCCTTCAAAATGGCAGTCTTGACCAAGCTATAGTTATTTTGAACGTCGTGAGAGAGTGCCTGGTATGTTTTTGCAGCTTTCCCTGTAAGGACCGTGCTCAATAAAGCAGTAATGGAAGTTTCGGGCCATTCACATGTCTTCGCTAAACTCTCAAATGAGTTAAAGAAAACGACCAAATCTGTTTCATCAAATTTAGGAACTAATTTCCCAAATTTGGCAATCACTTGCCCCACCGACAACTTTTTTGGATCTACCAGAGAAGTGACTTCACTAACTTGACCAAATTCTAATTCCAACCTCCTCTTATCTAAAGCAATTTTAGCCTCTAACTCCTGTTCTTTTAAAGCCTTCTCTAAAGCAACTTTCTCCTTCTCTAAAGTAACTTTCTCCTTCTCTAAAGCAATTCTAGCTTCTAATTCTACCTTCTCTAGAGGTTTCTCCTCGCGGAGTATCACCCCAGCCAACAAACTTTCATCAAATACACCTTCATTAATAAAATGAACAACAATTTTATCTCTCAACACCTCTGATTTCTGCGTAACAGAATAATCCAATTTCAATTCCTTAACAACACTAATCAAAACTTTCCTACTCAACTTTTCTACCTCCTCAACAGTGGGATTAGCCAAAAAAGATTCCATTTCACTAACTTCAAAATCACAACAAGCCTAGATTCTCTAAATTAACACGGCCCAACGCTGCGTTATGAATTTGACCTCTTCAATCTAGGACGTGACACGTCTGGCTTTTGACCTAGATAATTCTAGCCTTGCGCGCGTTTCAATAACACGGCTTCACTGGATAGAAAAACAACTAAATCAAACTAAACTTAGTGTTTAACTGATGCAACCAACAACTGGAACGACAGATTAAATCTCGGCGAGACCCCACTTTGTAACGGACACCTATCTACCAGCCAGATAGATGGTGAACGCCCCCGGATTCTTTCTTGGGGTTATATGCAAATGACTTAAAGCCTAAATGAATGAACACTAACTCAACAACACACTAGGGCTCGATTTCGATGTCTAGGGAAAACTAGTGATACTATTGAAGTTAACAACTCATCCAATCTGCATACAACCTTTAATAAGCGAACACAGTTGTGGCAGATCACAAGGTTAAACAAGATAAAATATTTAGTTTAGAAAATAACAAAACCCAACTTACAAAGCGTAAGAAAAAATACTATCACAGATTCTAACACTGTATAAAAATAGCCACTGGTCACACAACACTGCTATAGCATCAAGAATCACTTGGCCTCAAGTAATATAATACTAGAATACTAAAACAACTTAAGAATGCATAGCACACTCAGGACTTAAGTTCTCTCACGTTCAAATGGTCAGAATGAATTGCCGGACAATATGGACGACCTGGTCAAGATGGACTGCCTCTTGCTGCCTGTGGGCGATCTAGTTAAAGACTTAGGCAACAGGGGAGATTATCCTCAACTCATGTGGCCATTGGTTGGGGTGGTCATCTGATCTGAATCAATCAATCAGATCTTGATGGAAAATTTCTGAGTCTTAGACACTCTTAATAAGACAGTGGAAAAAACCCGGTTGTTGCACCATCAATCCATATATGGTATTATAACACTGTCAAACTAAAAATAAAACATGACTAGACCTAAGTAGGTCACAATATATATATATATATATATATATATATATATATATATATATATATATATATATATATATATATATATATATATATATGTTTTGTTGTTTGATACGTATTTTTTGTCTAAACGAAACATATATGTATGCAAAAATTGCTTGAATTATGTTTTCCCAGCGCTGGTGGATGTGGGTGGTTGGTACCAGTTTATGGACAAGTACGCTCACGCGGCGTCCAACCTGACGCTGAGTAACCCAGAGAATTACACGTGCGGACTGCCCAGGCAGGGTGAGTACATAAATAATAGGGGGGGACATATATAACAGGGTGAGTACACATACTAGACTTAAACATACTCAAGCTAATTTTATTTGAATATTCGTTAAATAATAAATACACTAGCTTTACTCTTAATGAAATTGATATTTCCACAGGCCATTGATTTTGATTCCAGCAATAGCCTTTATCCATTAAAGAACAAACTAGAACGAAGCAGTTGATTGCTGTCCCCAACTATCTTGCTTCATCTGCCCGGGGTTCGAACTCGAACATGGGTTTCTTTTCCGACCCGTCACCATTGACTCCTTTGTAAAGCTGACTTCTAACGTATTATGTTTAAAATGTATCTGTTTATTTGTATATACAATGTAAGAACTGCTCACCCCCAGATTTCATGCACGTGTGGAGAGACGCAGTGACTGGTGATATCCCGTGGCCTGGGGCTGTGTTTGGACTGACCACCATCGGCCTGTGGGTCTGGTGCAATGATCAGGTTACCACATACATTGTTTACCATTAAACTTTTGGGTTAGTAAAATAATGTGTTGCAACTTTTGGGTTAGTATAACGACGTGTTGCAACTTTAGGGTTAGTATAACGACGTGTTGCAACTTTAGGGTTAGTATAACGACGTGTTGCAACTTTAGGGTTAGTATAACGACGTGTTGCAACTTTAGGGTTAGTATAACGACGTGTTGCAACTTTAGGGTTAGTATAACGACGTGTTGCAACTTTAGGGTTAGTATAATGACGTGTTGCAACTTTAGGGTTTGTATAATAACATGTTGCAACTTTAAGGTTAGTATAAGAACATGTTGCAACTTTAGGTTTTGTATAATAACATGTTGCGACTTTAGGGTTAGTATAATGACGTGTTGCAACTTTAGGGTTAGTATAAGAACATGTTGCAACACAAATACTGGTAAAACGGACACAAATAATATAATAATAATAATTATGTAATAATAATAAAATAACATAATATTATGTATAATACATAAAATATTGCAACTTTAGGGCTAGTATAATAACATGTTGCAACTTTAAGGTTAGTATAAGAACATGTTGCAACTTTAAGGTTAGTATAAGAATATGTTGCAACTTTAAGGTTAGTATAAGAACATGTTGCAACTTTAGGGATAGTATAATAACATGTTGCAACTTTAAGGTTAGTATAAGAACATGTTGCAACTTTTGGGTTAGTATAATTACATGTTGCAACATCAGAGCTAGTATAAGAACATGTTGCAACACAAATACTGGTAAAACGGACACTATTTAATATGGCTGACTTTGTCAGCAAACCTATCTTAATATATCATTTGTTGTAATCCGCGCAGATGATGGTACAGCGTTGTCTGTCAGCTAAGAACATCAGCCACAGTAAAGGGGGTTCCGTTTTCGCTGCAGCCCTAAAGATTACACCTTTTTTCCTGTGGATTGTTCCAGGGATGATTAGCAGAATTATGTTTCCAGGTAAAACGTGTAAGATAATTGTAAATTAATGGGCAAAACGGGTAATTTATGAATGGTAAACATTAACTACGTTTTGGTAATATTAACAATATGTGATATTACTGGGATGGATCAAGCATTCGTACTTGATTTTTGTGATAATATGAAACTCATATTACCTGTTTACACCACAAATCAACTTAACATATTATATCTATCTTAAAAAAAATTAACAATATCATTCCAATCCCAAAAACTATGCATTTGGACAATGTTGAAGAAAGTAGACATAGTCCTACTGTTGAGCTATATATTACAAATCATATCAAGTTCCACTCAATCTCCCCACCCAACTACCCCCTCCCCTACTATCTCCCCACCCAACTACCCCCTCCCCCACTATATCCCCACCCAACTACCCCCTCCCCCACTATCTCCCCACCCAACTACCCCCTCCCCTACTATCTCCCCACCCAACTACCCCCTCCCCCTATCTCCCCACCCAACTACCCTCTCCCCCACTATCTCCCCACCCAACTACCCCATCCCCTACTATCTCCCCACCCAACTACACCCTCCCCTTGTCTCCCCACCCAGACGAGGTAGCCTGTGCCGACCCAGCGACCTGTAAAGCTGTCTGTGGGAATGAAGCCGGATGTTCCAACATTGCTTATCCCCTCTTGGTCCTCAGGAAAATGCCCACAGGTCAGTGTTTTGAACAAGATGCTATTGTTAAACATTCTTGTGTGTGTATTTTTTAAAGTTAAGACAATGTTGTGTGTGCAATAGCGTAGCCAGGATAGTCTCATGGGGGGGGGGGGGGGAGGGTTCAAATTTTTACCAGGGGACATACTTTCGATTTCCACCCCTCCCCCCTCAAACTTTTGATTTGCACCCCCCCCCCCCTCCCTCAAACTTTCGATTTGCACCCTTCCCCCTTCAAACTTTATATATATACCGAGGGATCTATGGGGGGTTTTGACCCCCCTAACCACCCCCCTGCCTACGCCACTGTGTGTATTGTTTATATCTTTTATTTATAGAATACCTTAGTCTTAAATTAGGCTACAAGCAGGTCTCTATTATGAGCGAAAGTGGGATTTTAATTGTTATAAGTACGTGCAAATAAAAGGCATTTTTTGTCTTGAGAAAATGTTACACTGTTCTGCACGCGTCAAAGATAGCAGTTCAGTTATAATATTAATGGCATCTTCCATCTATATCTAAAAATCTGATTTTTAACAATTTAATTTTTACAATAGCTTGAGAAATATATGATGGGACCCAGATAAACGCTAGCACATTCTTTGCGAATCTCAAACCAGTGGCGTAGGCAGAGGGGGGGGGGGGTTAGGGGGGTCATAACCCCCCCCCCCCATAGACGCCTCGATATATATATATATATAAAGTATGAGGGGGTGCAAATCGAAAGTTTGAGGGGTGGGGTGCAAATCGAAAGTTTGAGGGGGGGGGGGGAGGGTGCAAATTAAAAGTCTGAGGGGGGGGGGGGGGTACAAATCGAAAGCTTGTCCCCGGGTAAAAATTGGAAATCCCCCCCCCCTTGAGACGATCCTGGCTACAAAGAGTATTTATTATGTTATGCTCCACAGGACTAAGAGGCATCATGCTAGCTGCCCTGCTTGCTGCCCTTATGAGCTCACTGACCTCCATCTTCAACTCGGCCAGTTCCATGTTCACAATGGACATCTGGACACGGTACCGGAGGAAGGCGTCACAGAAAGAGTTGATGGTCGTTGGTCGAGTCTGTGTTCTGGTCCTGGTGGCCTTAAGGTTGGAACAAAAATACATTTTCCATTCATATTTTTGGTGACGTTTTAAGGTAGAAATACCAATCCATGTATAATCGATAATCGAGTCAATGTGTTTACATATTTATCTAGAAAAAACGTTTGTGTCCATTTTGGTAATACTCTGTTGATTTTAATATCAGAGTTTCCACATTTCAGTATTGTATGGATTCCAGTAATGGAAAGTTCACAAGGGGGACAACTATGGACGTATTTACAAACTGTAGCGTCTTGCATTTCTCCCCCTTTTTGTTGGGTATTTCTCATGGCTTTGTTTTGGAAGCGAACGACAGAACAGGTAAGTTGCATTAACTTATTGACGGGGAAAATCCATATGGGTAATTAGTTTTACCGGTAATTGTATTGCAATTACCGAAAAGAAGATATAATTTTTGCCCCGGTTTTTGAAAGGGGTTATTTCTGCGGGTTGGAGTGGCATTATTTGCTGTGATGATAACAATATATGCTAATTCTCGCCAAATATCAATGGTCAAAGAGTAAATGCTACATATATCTTGACTTTTCAACGAAATAATTCTTAATATTTTTAGCTAAAACAACAATTCCTACAAAAATAGAAATTTCATCTTTTTATATGACAGCTATTTCATTTAATATCTAATGCAAGTATCAATTTTTTAAAAATATATGTTCTATAGGGCGCCTTCTGGGGCCTGGTCATCAGCACGTGTGTGGGTGTTGTCCGGATGGTCTTGGAGTTCGTCTACCCGGCGCCCCTGTGTGGAAGTTTCCAGCCAGATACCAGACCCCTGGTACTGAAGGAAGTCCATTTTCTTCACTTCGCCATCATCTTGTCTGCTGTCTCCATCATCAGCACCGTGGGGATCTCGCTGTTGACCACGCCCCGACCCCCTGAAAAAGTGGGTGTGGTCTCGAAATTTGTAGTTAATGTAGTTATTATAATATAATGAAAACATCATGAGTTGTAATGGCCGTAAAAAAACATAACTAGCTATCACGGTGGTATAAGACAAAACGGATTAGGTCTATTAAATGGTTAACTCGGTAAAATATATTAGAAGTTTAATAACTAAGTTTACAGTTAATAATGCTTACCATTATCATAGAAGTTATTGTGGAATTAATATTTTTTTTTTCTTTTCAATTAAGTAAATTTATATTATTTAAAGTAAGGAACATTTAGCAAGCGAATGAGTTTTATTTTTATTAATTTTATATTTGTGAAAAGCTTAGAATCTATATCTACTGTATGAAAACTAATATGGAAGGAATTCAGAAATGAACAATCTTTCAAATTTTTAATGTTTTTTGTTTGTTTGTGTTCTCAGCTTCATCGTGTGACGTGGTGGACACGTGACGACACGACTGACCCTGAGGATTCAGAATCTCAATACGACTCTGGTGATGAGAACAACGATGTGGAGAAACCTGAGACAAACAGTAAGTCTGTAGGAACTTTAAAGTAGTCTTGAATACTGTAGTATACAAGAACCTAACATTTAAAAGTCAAACGTACGGCTTATAAACAAAATATTTCGGCAGTGTAATAAGTACTCAACGACAAGTTTAAAGCTATACATTTACGAATGTGTCCAGTTACTAGTTTATTTCAATGTGTGTATTTTATGAAGTCTCTATGAGCTTTTAACTGAAAAAGTAGGCTGCAATGCTATTCTTTGTAACGTTTAGCCTAAGCGCGAATTTAAGTAGGCCCACACTTTTGGCTAAAGACTAATCTTTGAATATTGTACTCCAAAGGCAAATCTTTATCAACTTTAGGCTGAAAGTGAATATATGCACACTTTAAGTTAATGGCTAAGGCTGAAAAGATATTTCGTGTGCAGATAATATTTCATCAAGTATGTTTACATTATGAGGTCTCTCTAAGCCCAACTTAAAAAGCAGGCTGTTATTTTTATTTGTAAATGCCAAATACAAGAAACGCTTCAACAGAAGGAATATTTTTTTAATCATCAATGATATAACATTATAATTTTATTTTCATAATTAATCGCTTCTATTTTGTACAACACGTAGGGCCTATAAAAGTAATAGTATTGGTGTGATATATTATTTCCTTTAAAATTCCCAGGCCCAGCCGCCGAGCCCAAAAGGCGGAGTTTGAAAGTTTACTTGTACAACTGGATCTGTGGCATAGACGACACGCCCAAACCCAAGCTGACGGTGGAGGAGAAACTGATCATCAAGAAAAAAATGAAAGACATCGGCGAAGACCCTTTCTCGCGAAAGATAACCGCGTTTGTTGCTATTTGTGTCGCTGCTATCACGACGTTTTTACTCGGATTTTTTAACTAACACAAAACTGAAGCTTTATACATGACATTTTAAACTGAGGCATTGATTATTACATTAATATATTCTCGAAATATAGGATATTGAAGACAGTCGTATTATTTTGTATTTTAAACTAGCACTGTAAAAATAAAAAGAGCGAAATAACTAGAAATGTGTCGTTTAATATGTTAATTAAATATAGCGGAAATCGATGGGATTCTAAGTTAGACTGAAAGCATGTTCATTGTATTTACCTAATATTTCAGTTTTAAAGATGATTTGGAAGGTGTTTTTTAAAATACGGCTTTAATTAATAAGTTTATTATGAAAATATATGGCTTATTTTTATTTACACTAATGTTATTTTAATTTGAATATTGGGTAAAATACGCTGATATTTTATCTAGTTTGATATTTGGAAAACATGCAAAATTAAAGAGGATGTATTATCAATTAGAATATCTAACATGTTTCAAGCCTCGCATTATGCTGTGGTCAGTGTCAACATATAATCACAAGTACTCCGTTTAATCTACATAAAATCTACATAATCTACATAAACTAGTCATACGTATGTCATATATAAACCTATATATGGTCAGTGTCCAACATACGTTGACCTACGCGAACTGGATCAATATTTTGTTAATCTTCGAACTTTAATATATTATTTCTTATCCTGATTACTATTATCTCTAGTGGTCTGTTATTGCCGCTTCTATATCCAAATATGGTAGTATACCGTCTGTATCAGGATATTTTGTTTTTATTTCTCGTATACGAAGTACATAGAGAAAGTATTGCAATCGTGCGAAAAAAATCGTAATCACTATTTTTATCTCCCTGAGTCGGAAAAACTTAGTTTTGCAACTTTGTATGTCTGACGTCTGTATGTTTATATGTATATGTGTGTGTGTGTGTGTTTGTGTGTTTGTGTGTGTGTGTATGTGTGTGTGTTTTTTTTGTGTGTACCGTTTCAGTTATGTTGACAAAATTTCATACTTGATTAGTTTGATTACTTTGTAGTTCTGTAGCAACATTTAAATAATTTCTGTTAGCCGGAAATGGTACCTTACTTTATTAGTTTCAACAATACCGATAACTTACATTAAGTACCATTTCAGTTATAAGGACGAAATTTTAAAAAGATAACCCCTACTTGACTGATTTCTTCGAAACCTTTCACGTAGGTCTAGACTCAATGACAAATTAAGCAGGTTAAATATTAATTCTCCTATCTAACTACAACGAATTTAATACAGCGCCGCAATTGTATTTGATTATGATACTTTAAAATGCACTTTAAAAAAAATGTAGTACAATATCTAGCCTATCTATATAATTTTCTTCATGGAGGTACCATGCGGGGCACCACATCTACGCCCCGGCCCCTCCCTGCTCTCCAGGCATGCTCAACATACCACATCGCTACCACCTCCACCCCACCAGTCTGGTTAGCTCTTTACAATCGTAGAGCCCGGTCAAATTATTGACGGCTATTAGGGGCAGATCATTTAGTTTTTAAACGAATTGAAACTAAGGGGAGGTAACAAGTTCTGCTTGATCATTTCATTTTCGTCTGTAAACTGTCGTCACGGACTGCTTTCTCGAGGAGGCAGGGTAGGGGGAGGGAGGAGTGGAATGGAAAGTGAGGGTGAGTATAATCGTCCTTTACGAGCTACTGATAGTGTTTTAAAGCAAAATATTTCAGTCGCAGCATTGGTAGTGTCGAATTCACAGTATATAAACTACTGAAAAGTAGAAAATAAAACAACCAAATAGCGGCGTATGCTACGTCGCGGGTCAGCTCGTGCAAAATAAATGAAAAAATAATTATTATTCCTATATTTTTTTATAATCTGTATTTTCATATCAATTTTCGTCTCTTTGTATTGTTGATTCATATGAAAGTTTGCCATTTTATTTGAAACGAATATGCATGTCCTTCAACTGGATACTGACATATATGCCAGTTCTAAGTAGAGATTTGAATAATCTGTCTATGTCGGTCTACTTTCTATCTTTTGGGGTTCCACTATTGACTTGTTCTATTTTACGTGATATGAAGTTTTAGATCTAATTTTGGCCACAAACATTATGATAAAAACTATAAATATAACATGACTATTTATGTTATTCAATTTATTCAATTACGGTAACAATAGTAGGCACAGGGGCCTTTTCTCACATTGGCCGTTTTAAAATAAAAAATAAAACAACAATTTAATAACAGAATTTAAAAAAGCAATTGCATAATAACAACATAGCAGTAACATAGCACTAAAAATGTGTAATAAAGAAATAATATTACACGAGCCGACCCGCGGCATATAATACGCCGCTATTTAGTTGTTTTTTTTTTCTACTTTTCAGTTAGTCATAATTTGTGAATTCGACACTACCAACGCTGCCACTGAAAATATTTCTTTAAAACATTATAAGTAGGTCGTTAAGGACGATACCCCCCCCCCCCTCCGTTAAAGTAAACTCCACTTAGTTACCCCCCCCCCCCCCCCCCCCCCACGTTTAAAATCGTTTCAAACTAAATTATCTGCCCCTACTAGTCGTCACTTAACCCGGCTGTGTTTGTAATGTTTGTAAACATAAAGAGTGAACACAGCTCAACAGACCATGTAGGGGTAGGGGTGGTAGGGAGCGGCACGTTTGCAGCTTGTTTTCTAGCGGCTCCCAGAAGAGAATTATATATATAGATAGTTATAATACAAAATGAGATAAAATAAGAATGTAATAGATGAATGAGAAATGTTTCAATGAGTCAGTTAGAGAGGTCATAAAATAATTGTTGTTTTAGTTTAGAATTTGAATATATTTTCAGATCTAGATTTATTTTATTAGGAAGATTGTTCCACAAATTAGAACCAGAGTAGGCGAAGCTATGTTTCTGGAGAAAAGTTGTATATGGGATCGGTAAATTAAGACGACGATTTAATTTTATGTTAAAAGAAAATAGGTTTGATAAGTAAGAGGGGGGCTGTTTCGTGGAACATTTTATATAAAAAAAAATTGATTTATTACTAGACAAGCAAGTAACCAGTTTTATAGCCCTTTTTTGTAATGATAGAAGAGGACGCTGCTTAGTTATAAAGCTGCCGCTCCACACTACAGAAGCATAATCCAACCTAGATTGAATAAAAGCTTCATAAAAAACAAGCCTGCTCCTATAGTCAAGAAAGTTCTTTATCATTGCTAGTTGAAAAGTTGTCTTTAATAAGGACATTCTTAGAAGATGAAAAAGATCGGTCCAAGTGAGGTTATGATCAATAATCAATCCTAGGCATTTGTAACTGTTAACCTGTTCAATGTTTGCATTGTCTATAGCATGGGACTGGTTGGCAGAGTGGTACAGATCTAGACTACTAGACACACCAGTCGAGTTCGAATCCGGGTTCAGGTTAGAAGAAAGCCCCTGAGTTCATCCAGCTCTGATGGGTACCCAACTCACGTTACGAAATGTTAAGTTGGGTATATTCTGTTTTTATAATTTCTTTTACCATTCATTTATTATATGAATATACGTTAGCTTTGTTTACTTTCTTTTTTCGACATTAACCGAAGCTATGTTACATTTAAGATTCAATAACATATGTATAAAATAACATATTACATCATTCTTTAATACTTTTATTTTTAAATTGTTTAAGTTACTTCCCAATTTGATGAAATTCAAAGTAAAGGGAAGTAATTTGTAGCTATATTAAATTAACGTACTAAACTAAATTAAACTCAAAATTGAGAAAAGAAAAGGTAAAATTTTCCTTTTATTTGAATTATAAAAAGTGTAATAATTCTTTAAATCAAAAGATAGGGCTAACTTTAAAACATAATGATTCGTGTCTTATTTCTACATTTTAGGTTACATTGTAAACATATGAGTAATTTGTAGTACTTAATGCATAGAGACGTTAATATTTTATATTATTAAGGGCTCAATAAGAAATACTTAAAGTGGGTTAGCATTTTTTTTTCAGAAAAAAAAATAAATAAATAAATGAATTTAATTGAACAAGGTTGATAACGATTTCTGTAGACAATTCACGTAAAAGACATAATGTAAACAATCGTATTTAGTTCATGGACTGTACATTTGAAAAAAAGAATTAACAACACGTCACTATGGTATCTTGTTTCAAGGCTACAAAGTACATGATAATTGATGTAGTCGGTTTTTAACCTACAACTTTGAATCACCTATATCCATGCTCATCTTCTGCTTTGCAACAAACCAAGATAGGCATTGGCTGAATCTTGCTATATAAGCTTATGACGCAACATGTTTTGTATGCCTATGGCGGCAACATGTTTTATAGGCATATACAGGCAACATGTTTTATAGGCATGTAACCCTCACTCAGTGGGGATGCTTTTATCCACTGAGGTGTTGTGGTTAAGACGGGCTGACCCTGAGATTAAGAACACACTGACACCGACAGTTGTTGTCAAGTACTCCTTTATTCACAGCATCGAGCCATGATGGCGATGCATAACACAGTAGTACGAGAGAGAAAATACTGAAGACAGACCAAAACAAAAAAACAAACTGTAACCAAAAAGAAAAAAAAAAGGCATGAAACTACCCACAGTCCCATGTCACATGACATGGGACACAGGTAACATCGCTCACAAGAGCATGAAAAAAACAACTACGTCAACAGGGCCACCGCCCCATAGGGGCCGCAACTCAATGAATTAAAACTTCATTTTTTCCCTCCCCTGGCTGGTAACCATATGTGTTACAGGCATATACAGGCAACGTGTTTTATAGAGCTATGCCGTAACATGTGTAGGTTTGTCCTATATAAAACTATTCCCTGACATGTTGAGCTTCATACTAACCCACTTGTAGCAACTGATTTACTGTACTAGATATGCTTTCACTCACTCTGCCATTGTTACGTAATATCATTGAGTCAAGTGTCTCACTGGGTATATTTGTAATACCGTATGCCTATAAATAAACACTCCAAAAACATGTGATGTCATTTTTGTTATACAGTATGCCTTTAATAAACACACAAAAATCATGTGATGGCATTTTCGTAATACCGTATGCGAATAAATAAACACACAAAACATGTGATAATGTGTTTGTAATACCGTATGCCATTAATAAACACACCAAAAACATGTGATGGCATTTTTGTAATACCGTATGCCTTTAATAAACACACCAAAAACATGTGATGGCATTTTTGTAATACCGTATACCTTTAATAAATGCACCAAACGTATGCGCAGAAAAAGTTGAAGGCTAATTTCTAAAGCTACCAATTAGCTTGACATTATTTAAGACCATTATTCAGGAAGATTCAGATTTACGTTTGAATGAATCTATTAGAGGGGTTTATCGTCTCCAAAAGAGTAAAAAAATAATAATAGTAAATAAAGGTGTAACTTCTTCTAATTTTATCTCAAGACTAGGCATACTGCCTAGCTTCGCTTAGGTTTTCAAAAACATTTGAGAATTTGAATACTTAATTATTTAGTGACGGCTGAGGTGTGGAGTGCTTAAATTTAAACAGTAATGCTAACTTAAAAAAAAAAAAATTAGCATTTTCTTTTTAAGTTTACAAACGTCAATGAATAATGATTTTAATTGAACAGACTATTGTTTTACTACAAAACACACAACAAGTCGGACATGGTATTAAAGTATACAAGAAGAACACTGCGTATTTTTTGTCCATAACATACTGCTATAATATTACAAACAAGCATGAATTATATGTGGAATAAATTTAGACACAAACAAAATTTATTCGCTTTCAATAGCCTATAACTATAGAAATCACAGTACTAAGGTGTTATTTTCTCCATTTTTTTTAGCATTTAAAAATATGTATTTGTCTTCAAAATCTAAGGTAGGCTTATATGTTAATGATCGTGTAACTTACTCAGATTAAAAAATAAATAAACTGTGTTTGATATTTAAAACAAAATCGAAATGCTACTAATTTCTTTCTATTTAGAATACACACACACACACACACACACAATAGTTTTAAATAAATCAAATAAAGAAATTGAACAAAAATCAATTTGGTATATTTTTTTCTATATTTAGTATTGACTATTTAAAATATTTCAATTATTACGTAGCATTGTATTTTACATTTTACAGAGATTTTTTTAAGGGGATATGCGCGGAAAAAAATCACAAATTTTCTTGTTTTTCGTCATGATGGGTTTCTTGCACTTTTGGATACTTTGTCCATTTTTGTATAAAGAAAATAATAACTTTAAAGAGAAAAAAATATTTTATGTGTTTGAATTTCGATTTTTATGACCCTATTAATTAAAAAATAATCAATTTTTCCCAATCTTACAAGTTCTCTATGAAAAGTTTTATATCCGTCATTATATTGTATTTGACATCATTGGAAAGCTGGATTTCTCATGTATCTAATAAACTTAATTTCCTACATCTCGGAAACACCCAAAGCTTACAATCAGCTTTGCAGTTTACACAGATATGGTACTTTCCTGACCTAGTTTTCGTTACTTTTTGCTGTTTTTCTCAGTTTGAATGTTTTTAACACTAAAAAGCCTACTACTTTTTTATTTATAAAACAATGCCAACCATATTTTCAGTAAATGTTCTTGATGCAAAAATACAACTTTTGTCACGAGGGAATTGTGATTGCTTTCATAGAAAAAAAGTATTTGGTAATTAATATGCACATTTTGAAACTTTTGAATACTAAAAAGGGTACGATTTTTTAGACCTTGTAAAATTCTTACTAGTAATTATTTCAAAAAGTTGTCGTGACAAAAGTTTTAATATATAATGAAATATAAGCAGTTTAAATTTGATTGCTATAGGTGCATAAATAAAAAAGCCTTAGTATTTTTAAAAGTACCGAAAAATTCAAAATGGCGGAGGTTTTTTGGGTTTCCATGACAACCAAAATTGTTTTCGACCCTTTTTTTTTGCTGTTTAATACTTACTTTTATATACCAAATATGATAAAAGTATTCAAAAGGCTTTAGATCTTAAACTGTAAAAAATAGAAAAAAACATAGCATATCCCTTTAATTGAGTTGCACTTTATGTCCAATTCTAAAATTAGCAAAGAAGGTTTTACTCTAAAGTATTTTGAAAACCAATAAAGGGAAAAAATTCTACAGACAGTAGGTGAAGATTTAAAGTATTCTGATGACAATAAATGAAGATTTACTTCAACATATACTATATTCTAGTAAATGAAGTTTTACAGTAAAATGATCTATAGACAATAAATGGAGATCTACAGTAAAATATTATATAGACAGTAACTAAAATAGCAGTAAAATAACTGTAATTACTCATTTCAAGCATTTAATGTCTTGATTGCAGAAGCACGCGAACTCTAATTCATTTGCAAATACTTACGTTTGAAAGCTACTTTACTTCTGTTTTACTCTAAGTGCATTATAAACACGCAGATTTGCATATGTGGTTATCAAGGACACTCATACATAAACATTGTTGTTTAGTTAGGATTAAGTCAAGGATTAACTGAAATAAACCCGCGAGGAATACCCGACAGCACAAGTAGTTTTTTAATGCGCCGGATATTTTTGACATCGTCTGAGAGGTCCGTGTTGGCCTCATCACCGCCACACCTCAATGATCAATGACTGCCGTACACCACCGGCTAAACATTGAAGCTGAACGCTATCGACCATAACTTTCGCTGTTAGTGACATTAGTTAACGTGTGTAAATAGACGTGATGTTTACTACACAAAGGATCAACACCGTCTTCACTGTGTTGATACTTCTACTTAAAGTATATGGATCAGTAGAACAGGAGTATTCTACTACATTGGATTTATTTAATGAAAAACTTAGTGGCTCGAATTATAATTCTAAAGTGAGACCATTACTAAACCAGTCTCGTATTCTAGAGGTTAATGTGTCATTTGAGCTCCTGTCTATAGTGGAGCTTAATGATGTCCAGCAGAGCTTTACCTGCAACGGTTTTCTGGCTTTTTACTGGACAGATGAGGTAGGGACCTATTTTTAACCGGTTGTTGTAGAAAAGGTGTAATTTTTTATAGAAAAAACTAAATAAATGTCGACATTTAAAAGCCTGATGAAAGTTAAAATAACATTAAGTTTTCGGGTTAAGGTAATTTCTAAGCAAAACATTTGTAAAATATGTTAATGTAAAGTAATGAAAGCTATATCTGATGTGTTATAGCGTGATACACTATTTGCATTGAAATATTAAACGCTGATGCTACAAATGTGTTTAAGTTGCTTTTCTTTACACCTTGCCATTTTGTTTTCCCAAGTAAAGATTTTTTAAGCATTTTGTTCAAGAATAGCTATTAAAGCTATATGTAATAATTGTATTCAACGACACACGATTTTGCTATTAAATATATAAACTCTTCACTATATTCTGAAGTTGCTTTAGTTTTCCAACAACTTTCTAACACATTTAAAAACATGTTTGTATATTCAACGTTCGACATTAAATTATTACGTTACTCTATCAAAGATAATTGCATTTTAATTTTTGTAAGATATCTAATACAATATCAAAGCTTTTTATGATGGGGTTATATAAAATTGTACTAATATCAATAATTTCTTATGTATGTATGAAAAGTATAATGTATATGTTGAAATTTTATACGCGCATGGTACTATTCTAAATGATTTCCGTGTTCAGCTCTTGGTCTGGAACTCCACCCAGTACGGTGGTCAAAGATTTATACATCCGGTCCCAGAGGACATCTGGAGACCTCGTGTTGTCGTGATGAACACACTACAGGACAGAGATCCCTTCAAGGATGATATCAGGTGGGGGTGTATGGTAGTGAGACTGTATGCGAATTTATACGGAGACTGTATGAGTCAGTACAAGTTGTTAGCTGTAACTTGACATGTAAACGACTTGCACTGTTTTATTTTATATTTATATCGATCTTAGCTTTTAATTAATTGGATAGTGTTGACTTTGTGGAGAGCGACTGGGAGGGAATTCATTGAAACTATTGACCAATCGCATTAGTGCACAGTAAACCTTAAAACTTTACGATAGGCTGTCGTCTAATAACTTTGGCAGAGCAGCCATCTTGTTACTAAATAAAACAATAGACTGTTTACTTTATCTGGAATATATGCTTTAAATTAGTAGATCATCATCTACTTACTCTCTCAAGTTCGAAATTCTGAAGAATCTTTACAGTGTATTGTGATTGTTATTGTAGCTAAAAATTGTTTAGTCAGTTTTAAAATGAGTTAAAACTGTGCGTAATGAACTTTTGTCTGTTTTAAGAAAGCACGAATGTCCTCTACCACTCCTCCTTTACCCAGCTCTCTAATTCAACCAATGGCCAGTTAGTAATCCTGTTCTACCATTGTATGCTCAGTTTGTAGGGTACATGATACTTCAGACTGTTAGCTACACTATATTAGTGATATTTGCTACTACACATGGTTTAATGATATTTGCTACTACACATGGTTTAGTGATATTTGCTACTACACGTGGTTTAGTGATATTTGCTACTATAAATGTGTTAGTAACATTTGCAACTATACATTTGTAAGTGATATTTGGTACTACGAATGTGATAGTGACACTTGCAACTATAAACTTGTTAGTGGCATTGGAAGAAACATTAATTTGCTACTACACATATACTATTGACCTTTGTTACTACACATATACTGGTGACCTTTGTTAGTACACATATGTTAGTGACATTTGATCTATGTAGAAACAGTGTAGGACCTACTACTAACTGATGTAAATATCTGTCACACGGTGGTGATCAGATTACTCCTAAAATAGGCCTGCACCGAAACCCTAATAATTAACTGTTTTGATATGCTTGAGTTAACACTAGTAATTTATGGCTCATTGGATGTTTACGCATCAGTGAGCAGTGGAATGGAAGGGACGGGAGGGGAGGGTCAGGGAGGGGGAAATTGTTGGCCAGTGACTCTTTGAGCCAAGAATACTCTATTTCTGTAATGTATTTGCCCTAAAACAATACCCTGTTACTTTAATAATGCTCTATTTTTATCAACGCAACCAAGTAGATATTTACAAACTTTAAACTTAACTAAGGATTAAGAATTCTATGAGCTTTGAATTAGGCTCTATAGACTATTATACAGGCTATAATTTAGTCTGGTATGTTAATAGCTGTTCTTACAATAACACTTGATTTATAAATATGTGAATTCATAACCAGGAGTTATTGTTTTCATTTTCTGTATACATTATTTGCTAGTGGCGTAGGTAAGGAGGGCTTAGGGGGATTATAAAACCTCCCATGGACCCCGATCCCTATATATATATATATATATATATATATTTATATATATATATATAGTCATATATGGCTACAAGACACTACCCCCCCCCCCGGAAATTACACCCCCCCGGACATCCCCCCCCCCCGCATTTACCCCCTGCCAATTACCCCCCTCTCAAATACCCCCCGGGGGAATTACCCCCCCCCCCCCTCTCAAGTTAGAATCCTAACTCTAACTAGAGTTCTATACCTATATACTACTTTAATCCAAACCTTAAGAAAAAGACCAAAACCTAAGCATCCACCTTAGCCTAAAACTTCACACAAAACCAAAACTAGACACAACCCTAACCCTTACCCTAGCTCTAACACTAACTCTAGCCCTAGCCCTAACCCTAACCTTAACCCTAGCCCTAACCCTAGCCCTAACCCTAATACTGACCCTAACCCTAACCCTAAACCTAACCCTAGCCCTAACCCTAGCCCTTAACCTAGCTCTAACCCTAACCCTAACCCTTAACCTAGCTCTAACCCTAACCCTAAACCTAGCCCTAACCCTAACCCTAGCCCTAACCCTGTCCGGGGGGGGGGGGAGGGGGGGGGGGTAATGTCCTACTGGGCGGGGGTAATTGACAGGGGGTAATTGCTCCGGGGGGTAAATAGGGGGGGGGGAATGTCCGGGGGGTAATTGGGGGGGTAATGTCCTGTTCCCATACATATATATATATATATATATATATATATATATATATATATATATATATATATATATATATATATATATATATATATATATATATATTCCATACGTATATAATTATATATATATATATATAATTATATACGTATGGAATCATTTTTGAACCCCTCCCATGACCAATTCCTGGCTACGCCACTGTTATTTGCTATTTAGAAATATAATTTTAAAACTTAATACAAAATATAGCTTGCAGTGAATTATTAAAATGTAATTTTTTATTAAAGAGAACGTATTTTATAGCTTTCTGAAAGAGTTTTCTTACAGTGCATTTCAAACCTTCTTTCCATGTTTAGTAAATGTATCATTTCTACACTTACTTCAAAATTCACATCTTAAAAGCTTGATAGTCTATTAATGTACAAGTCTAAAACTTAGCACATGAACCAGGAATTAGACTATGTACAATGCTACTTTTGTACGTACAATTTACCGTATTAACTTCAGAAAATAATGTTTATTTAGTACAATTCTCTTCATCATGTACACAATTTATAGAAACAAGTATGAGATTCAAACATTCAAACTTGATATCCTAATAAAGAAAAGTAGAATTGTTTACATATTTTATTTACTTTTTGGGCGAATAAATGTATACAGTATGTTAACGTGTCCAATCATGGTCTGAAAATGGTTTTCATGCAACCTGAGTTGTTAAGTGTGATTTTATACATTCGTGTTTACAGAATAAAGGCTGTTAACTGATGGATTCATTGCATGCACATAAACATGCATAATATGGTTTTTATTTTGGTGTTAGCTTTAGAGATATTTAGTTGCAGCATATTTCTACTTTTTTAAAAAAATCCAATGGTTTTGTATTTACTACGAAGAAACAATACATTGACTGCTATGAATCTCCGACAATGTAAAACAAAACATTTCCAGTCCAGTGTTTGTCAAATACAATGGCTTCGTTTCCTGGATACCAGGGTCGTTGTTTACCATCTCTTGTGAGCTTGATCTGACGGACTTCCCGTTTGACCACCAGACCTGCAAAATACAGGTAAGATGGAATATTGTATGTAAGGTGGTATAAAATATAGGCTGTAAGATGGAATATTGTATGTAAGGTGGTATAAAATATAGGCTGTAAGATGGAATATGGTATGTAAGGTGGTATAAAATATAGGCTGTAAGATGGTATGTAAGGTGGTATAAAATATAGGCTGTAAGATGGAATATGGTATGTAAGGTGGTATAAAATATAGGCTGTAAGATGGAATATGGTATGTAAGGTGGTATAAAATATAGGCTGTAAGATGGAATATGGTATGTAAGGTGGTATAAAATATAGGCTGTAAGATGGTATGTAAGATGGTATAAAATATAGGCTGTAAGATGGAATATGGTATGTAAGGTGGTATAAAATATAGGCTGTAAGATGGAATATGGTATATAAGGTGGTATAAAATATAGGCTGTAAGATGAAATATGGCATGTAAGGTGGTATAAAATATAGGCTGTAAGATGGAATATGGTATGTAAGGTGGTATAAAGTATAGGCTGTAAGATGGAATATGGTCTGTAAGGCGATGTAAAATATAGTCCTCTATGCACATTGTAGAGCCAAGGGCCTGAATAATTTGTATTCAGTGTATCTTGTCCGACTACATCTGTGCGGACTTAAGTTAGATAACTCGGCCTTCAGGTCTATCTTGAGTAACTTGTTTTATGCTAGCCTAATGATGTAGGTGTAGTGGTAATGTGAACAATTAGCTCAGATGGTAATTTAAAGATATCGGTTAGGAGGTAATGTAAACACATATCTCAGATGGTTAAGTAAAGACGTAGGAAAATAGGAAAAGTGGTAATGTAAACAGGTTACTCTGGTGATAATGTAAACAATTAGGGAAGGTGGTAACATTAAGTGGGGATATAAAAACGCAGCTCGGGTAATCTAAATACGCAAAATTGGTGGTAGCCTAAAGATTATTGGTAATCTTTAGCTATAGATTAGATAGTTATGTACACACACAATTTAGGTTGTAACGTAATTGAGTATATTTGATTTCATTGTTCTTCATAAATCGTAACTGTAATATTACCTGAAGTTTCTTCCAACCCATTAAAATATTATAACGATTTGAGCCGTTCTTTTTGGATTCCCTTACATAGCATTTGATCATCCAAGAACAAACTACAAAACTATAAAAGGGTTGCTTCTATCGAAACCTTTTCTACATAGGGGTGCGAAGTCGATCTTTTCGGTTTAGCCAACAAGGGTTGATGACACACCTAATGCTATTCTAAAAACGAAACGTAAAAAGGTTAAATCTGTCAATTTTGTTTTCCCAAGTTAACGGCCATGACACTCTCGTACGACGAGATGAGATTCTACGTGATGTCGCCGAGAGTTGGCCTAAACTTTTTCACCAAGAACGGCGCATGTGAACTGGTTGACACTGGGATGAACACGACCATTCTCAAAACCGGAGCTATATTTATGTCATCAATCGAGGTGTGTGATCTGACAGAGTAATTAATTTGCTGATAGCGCTCTTGGTGCGTGTTTATTCGTTAATATTTTATGGGTGGCGCCCGAAGGTTCAATCAATAAATGGATCAGTAGTATTTGTTTCATTGGTTGCCAATAGTAAAGTGTGTTCATCAATGTTTCGGTACAAATATATATTGATGTTTTTTTATCAATAATTTTGCTAATAGTTCATCGTCCCGTAACATTCATAACGTTGTAGAATTTAACTGAGTTTAAACGTTTTCGAGTAGTTTTTTTTTGGGGGGGGGGGGGGGGAATTATAACATATGGTGAATTATAATTACAAATGTAAAAACTTCGTCAATAAATAACATCGCTTAGTTTAAATAAATGTATAGTCTTTTTTTTTCTTGTAGTTGAAAGTAACGAAAAGCCAGACTACATCAATACGACATCACTTAACATTCACAGTACAAATCTATCATCGTTATTTTTAGCATTTCTCTAAACCAGTAGCGTAGCCGGGATCGTCTCATGGGGGTGGGGTTCAAATTTTTTCCAGCAGTATATAACCCGGGGACCAACTTTCGATTTGCACCCCCCCCCCTCAACCTTTCGATTTTTAGCCTCAATAAATATGTAACGGTTTAACCGGGATACTTTTTATCGGGATCCGTATGACTAGAGCCTTTGTGTCGTGAGCCTATTCACAGGAGGAGTTTTCTTTCGAGACTGAGTTGACAAGAGCCCTATTATTTGGCGCCGTTATTAACTGTGTTCATTTTTCAATGCTTATTTCCATTTGACGTCTATTGGGCGGGTTTATTTTTTTTTTGTCGGCGCCTTTGTAGGGATGTGCTCAAGAGCAGGGTCGTTTTGTTACGGGTAGTTTTGTTACGGGTAGTTTTGTTACGGGTAGTTTTGTTACGGGTAGTTTTGTTACGGGTAGTTTTGTTACGGGTAGTTTTATTACGGGTAGCTTTGTTACGGGTAGTTTTGTAACGAGTAGTTTTGTTACGGGTAGTTTTGTTACGGGTTGTTTTGTTACGGGTAGTTTTGCTACGGGTAATTTTATTACGGGTAGTTTTATTACGGGTAGCTTTATTAGGTGTAGTTTTATTACGGGTAGTTTTATTACGGGTAGTTTTATTACGGGTAGTTTTATTACGGGTAATTTTATTACGGGTAGTTTTGTTACGGTTAATTTTATTACGGGTAGTTTTATTACGGGTAGTTTTGTTACGGTTAGTTTTATTACGGGTAGTTCTATTACGCATAGTTTTATTACGGGTAGTTTTATTACGGGTAATTTTGTTACGGGTTGTTTTGTTACTGGTTGTTTTTAATATCGTACGAAAAAACCGATTTGTAGTTAATTTTTCATAGCATTACTTGTTTAAGGGGTTGCAGCTAGTGCTAGGTATGCGACAATACACGCACTAAAACATAGAGAATATCTGAGTGGTGTTCACTTTTTGTCCTGTAGTCATTTGCCTCGCTTCGTTGGTATTTGAATGTATTGATGGGGTTATTAATAAAGTAGTTGGATCAGCCTTAGTAACTTCACTTCAATATTGATATTCTTTACTAAAATAAGCCAGCTTTAGCAGTATTTTGTTGTATTATTTATTGTTCCCCAGCTGACGTTTGTGATGAAGAGAAGACCAGACTTTCTACTCCTAAACATCATACTCCCTGTGGTGTTGCTGTCATTTCTCAATCTTATGGTGTTTGTTATACCCGTAGACTCAGGGGAGAAAATCGGATACGGCAAGTTGTTAAAATTGGTTATATTTTAAAAGATTGTCTTCTTTTCTGCATGGATTTAATGTAGCATAATTTAAACTAGGATTTCTACCCTTATTTATTTAACGGGAAGAAATCGTTAGACTGGAATTCCCAGGGGAAAAGGAAAGCAGGCCGGTCGAAAATATCCTAGGTAAGGAATGTAGAATATAAGGCAAGGGCTACCAGGTTTATGTGGGCGCATAAAAAAGAGGGGATCAAACCCGGTGGAATGTGGCTGCAGTAATTTACTATTCAGGTGCCCAAAGGAATAAGTGGAGCCATTAATATTAAGTGTAAATTATAGCACAAATCAAAGACACATATAGTATATATAAGACAATAGTATCATTTTTAGGACGTGAATCCTCCAGAATTTAGATTCTATAGACTTTCTGTTATTGAATTAAAGATCCCTTACACGTTCGGTACAATACAGCAGCATAAGGGGAAATCAGATTTATCAAACCTCCTACCGACTGTATAAATCTTACTGTTCCTAATACTAAAGGCCCTGCTGTGACTATACTTCCAGGTATCACAGTCTTACTGGCACTGACCGTCTACATGAGTATCGTCAGCAACATGTTGCCCAGCTCCTCTTTATCTACTCCCAGACTCACCCTCTACCTCTTCATCCTCCTTATCTTCTCTATGCTCACTGTCATTGACAGTATCGTTATTGTCTTTATCGACAACCTAGAGGAGGTAAGTTTTTCTTCTGATGTATTTTGTGTAAGTAGATATGCATAGGTACATACGTATATGCATTTAATATATATATATATATATATATATATATATATATATATATATATATATATATATATATATATATAATGCATCAAATTATTTTTTTAATTGCCTGTATACTATACAAAAAAGTTAAACCATCATTTTGTTACTAGTTCATATTTTCTGCTCGTTTAGAAGGAAGTAGCGCATCTGAAAGCAAAAGCGAATTTCAGATCTGCTTTGCATTATTTCACCAACTTCAAAACGGCCTCCAACTCCACGAAAAGACTGGCAGTCAACGTACCGTATCCTCGAGGGCAACAACCGATAATGGACGCACAGTCTCACGTTGAAGATATCAACTTGCAGCAAGTAGACCCAGAAGATAGACAAACCAAGAACCATAACTCGCCAAAGACTATGGAGAATAAATACAGGCTAATTGGAAAACATATCGACCTGATTTCTTTTCTCGTGTTTTTCGTCATTTGGTTAGGTGTGACATTCGGATTCCTGTTCAGCATTGCTTTTTAGTGTTTGCTCTGTAAATGTCAGTTAAAATGACGCAAAATGATTTACATGCCCTTTCAAATTGCAACAAATACCTCGAAAACAAAATGTGTATTTATTAAAATGTTGATGCACATAAGTTTAGATTTTTTAAAGTTTTGAAATAAGTTGTACATAATTTACCCGTAGTCATCTTAAAGTTGTATTTGTTTTAATTGGGTGACTTTTGCTGTTTTCTTCCATTAGATTTTAATTAAGAACTATTTATGTCAGGTAATTACAGACGATTTGCTTTATTATAGAGTCCTACTTTTAGTACTTTATAAGACCTAATCACACCCCCTCCCCCAAACTTTGAATTATGTAAATGCATTTTTTTAAAACAGAAATGATTTTCTGAGCTTAGTCAAAATTGAGTATATAATACATTTTTAGATGACAAAATTAGGGCTATAATTTTAGTTCTATCTTTAATTACATTTTAACTTGTTTTTCTTTTTAATTACCACATTTTATAATCAATGTCTTTATAAAAAAAATTATGTGTCGTATTTTTAGTACGGTGATATATTAGCACTTTCTTGATAAGAATGTTGTTGCCTATAGATGTTGCATATTCTATTCCCTGATTAAGTTTTAATTTATTTTCCAAAAGCTACAATTGCTAATCAGATGTATTACTAAGATTTGTGTTGAAAACTCCGCGCTAGCAGGGCCGGCGCTACCTATAAGGCGAACTAGGCGGTCGCATAGGGCGCTGTCCGTAGGGGGGGGGGGGAGGGCGCCAAAATGGGTTGGAAAAACAAATTGAAAAGTTGAGAGGGGGGTGCAAGTCGAAAGTTTGAGGGGGAGTGCAAATCGAAAGTTTGTCCCCGGGCGCCGGGAAGAGTCGCTACGCCTCTAATAATACGGGGGCACGAAAAAAATTGCAGGGGGGGGGTCGCTTTTAATGAGTTTTGCCTAGGGTGCTAAATAACATGGCGCCGGCACTCCGCGGCAGGGAAGACAAACTTTGTATATTAATAAATTTTTTATGTAGTTTAAATAGTGGTGTTGTATTTACTTATTTAAGATTTGGCACTATTGAATAATGTACGACTTTAAAATTGTTTTTACTGTAATGTTTATTGCATATATATATATATATATAACTATATATATATATATATATATATATATATATATATATATATATATATATATATATATATATATATATATATTACTGTAGGTAATGTTTTTGTTTCTTATGGTCTGTATATTTGTATATTCGGGCATTCTTTTAGCCTTTAAAAAGCTCTATAAACTACATAACTACCAACTCTACCTTTTTTTGCATACAGTACTATATAATCCAATCCAATAGATACTTCCGATCGTACTGTTAGATGTTTTAATGATCACAATTTCTTCCATCATGAATGTTATGTAATCATGCAAAGTATATATTCTTCTCTAGATTTTTAAGTTGCCTTACTAATTAATTAAATCTACTTTTATACACTTTCAATGTATTTTTTTCACTTAGAATTAAAAAGCAGTGAATTATTTACCTAACAGTTTCCTTAATTAGCATATAAATATTTTGAACAGCAATACGACTAACTTCAGTATTGTCAAAGTTGTGACGTAATCACAATTTCTATGATTTCTATGAAAATTGATTTTTGCAGCCCGATTATGAAAAAATTCTAAGGAGGAACAGCTATTAATATATGTATACACTTGTCGGCGTGATTCCTTCCTGTTATCAAATTTGAAAAAAAAACACGGCTCCCCATTTTAAAAGGCGTGGGGAGTATTTTACCAGTCACTGTCCCTTAACAGTTTTTATTTTGGTGCGACTAAATCGAAGTAGAAAACACATAAGTTTGTCAGTAAAGCCAAGTGGCAGTTCTATTGGGTAACCGACTCGCTTTTGAGAAAGGCGGCTGGACGTAGTGCTGACCACAATATCTCCTCATATGCCGTGGTAATACAGACTAACTATACTTGTCATAGGGCAAGTGAAGTAGATTCACCAGTTTCTGTGACCTCGGCAAATAAGGGATAGTGTTATTAGCTTAAAGTCCAGCCGCCTTAACGCGAGTTTGGTACCCATCAGAGCTGTGTGGACCAACGGACCTGTACCCGAATTCGAACTCCGGACCTTGGGGTTAGCTGTCTAAAGCTCTAACTCTACGCCAAAATTGTCCTATAGATCTTTACAAATTCAAGCATAAATGTGGACTAAAGTTCACACGCTCTAATTTTTCACCTGTCAAAAGTCTATTTGAGGTTACCGCGTTCAATCATCGATAACGTATACCTGAGTCATGTCAATAATAATCAGTTGACTTGGCAGGGTACGGTAAAAAAAAATGTGTTCATAACATTGGATGATGGTGCCCGGTCAACTACAACAAAGAACCTTGACATTTAATCTTAATTAAGGGAGGAATGATGCTTAAAGAGCAATATTAATATTCGGGTTATATGTTCAGTATGTTGCTGCCTATGAGCCGTGGGTTATTGAACCAGACCTAAATTTATCTACTTAAACTCCCACACTCGTATATTTAGCCGTGAATGACAAAGCACGCATACACGCTAGTAATATTTAGTTAAGGGTTAGTCAGGAATGTCTAGAATGAACCTATGACGATGCAACCGGTGTGCACTCGATTTAGACCCAGTGACTATGACTGTTACCGTGTGTTTACTCTGTGTTGGCCCAAAACACGACACACATGAATGAACAAGCACAGACTGAAGTGCACCAACATTGACAGCGATATATATTCCTGTAACCACTGAGGCTGAACGATATGAACTACAGTTGGATATAGCGCTTGCGATAGTGTAGTGTGTATAACCCAGCTGTGTAAATAGTCGTAATGTGTTCAACACGAATGCTATTCTCTCTCTTTACCGTGTTGATATTTCTCCTGCTAGTTCATAGATCTTTAGGACACGACTATTCTACCTCTCTGGATTTTTTAAATGAAAAACTAAGCAGCTCGAATTATAATCGGAATCTTAGACCAATACTGAACCAGTCGGCTGTTCTAGACGTTCTCGTGGGATTTGAACTCCTGTCTATTGTGGAACTTAACGACATCCAGCAGAGTTTTACCTGCAATGGTTTTGTTACTTTCATTTGGAAAGATGAGGTATTTTTACTAGCTATTTTTTAAAATTGCTTTCTCTGTCGTTTGTGATATTATTATTTTGGAACGAAACTGTCGAGCAAAATTTCGACCACTTCTAACAGACCAATTTTTTAAAAGTTGTCACGTAGGACAAGATCCGATGACTATTAAATATGAAGTAACATTTGAATTAAGTGGATACTTAATTAATTTATAAGAATTAATTAATTTCCTATATAAAGTAACTTTTTTCCGAGCTATAATACGCACAAAGTTTGTATAGGATGCATAAAGGACAGACAAGCAAACAAACAAACAAACCACTTAAATTTGTCTAGGCATAGATTACATGTAACTATCGCACGATGTTATTGTACGTAAGCTTGTTTATTGCCCTTAAAGTTTTTACCTCATGGTTATATACCCACTCTCTTGTATAAATAGCTAGTGATGTTTTATACCCTGTATATTGTGTCATTGATATCCGTGTTTAGATCCTGGTCTGGAACTCCACCCAGTACGGTGGTCAAAGATTTATACATCCGGTCCCAGAAGACATCTGGAGACCTCGTGTTGTCGTGATGAACACACTACAGGACAGAGATCCATTCAAGGATGATATCAGGTGGGTAGGTGGTGGATAGTGAGACTTTAGTTAAGTACAAGTTAAATATTAGCTATTAGTTGATAGCAAGACTTTGGGCTTGTGCATGGTTGATAGTAAGATCTTAGGTGAGAAATTACTGGTTTAGAAATAAGTCTTGATGTTAGTTAGTGGTTAATATAGGGACTTTAGGTGAGTGTGTGAAACTACAGAAGAGAATCATTTGGGTACATTAATAGAGAACAAACTTATAACTTTCTGTTTTAGAAAGCAATTGAAAAACTTGAGAAAATAGTTTACGATGAGATATAACTCCAAAATTAATATTTTTCATTTACAAGAGCTATTTCTGTGCACTTGCTATGTAGATGAGCGTTAAAGAATAGGTATATGTGCAAAGTTGTACAAGAAGAGTGTAATTTTAATTAGCGATAAAAAATATAAATTCTATATCTAATGCTTTGTAAATGTATGGAGTCGGCGTGCTCTGTTCGATAAAGATTGTGGCTGCTAAAGCGAAAAGTCCCGAGTTCGAAACACTGGGCTTTGCAGTATGTAAATATATACAAAGGCTATGGAAGCAAATTCAAATAGAACAGTAGACTGAAATTAGAGTCTACGGCCTAAAAGCACATCACATTTTGACACGTACTATCTAATTGTGTTGGAGTAAATCCAGTCCACACTTCACAATTAAGAACGAAGAAAATGTAGTAAATGTACCGCGGTAGTGTATTTGTAACGAGCTGACCCGAGACGTAGCATACGCCGCTATCTAGCTGTTTTATTTTCTACTTATCAACAATTCATAATTTGTAAATTCGACACTACCACCCCCCTGCCGTTTACAGACGATAATGGAAATATCAAGCAGAACTTATTATCTCCCCTTAGCTTCAAATCGTTTAAAAACTAAATTATCTGCCCCTAATAGCCGTCACTTATTCGAACCGGCCCTACTATTGTAAACATTCGGGGTGTACCACAGCTCACCTGACAGGTGGGGATGAGTGTGGTGGCTAAGCTGCGTGGTGTCTCGTATGGTCTCCATGAAGAGAATTATATATGTAGATACATGCTAAACACTGTACCATGCCATAAATGTCCGAATGTTTCAGCCCTGTAACGGTTATCAGCGATGGTTCAGCGGTTTGGATACCTGGCTCTTTGTTCCCCATTTCATGTGAGCTGGAATTAACAGACTACCCATTCGACCAGCAGACCTGCACCATACAAGTAAGTTATTCGCTTTGTTATAGCTACTGGACTGTAGGCGATATTTTAATTGTAGTATAACTGCAATTAATGTTATATTATAACATCAGGCTAACTCTTACCTTTCTTGTCACACCAAGGGGCAAGTGTTTCTATGAGCTCGGCGTATGAAGAGATAGTTTGGTCAGCAGTATGCCTAGCCGCCTTTACTTTTCCTAACCTAGGTATCTATCAGACGCAGGAAGGTTTTAATGATTTGAACCCGGAATCGAACTCGAGACCTTCGGATTAGCATTATAGCGCTCTACCGCTACGCCACACCACCCCACAACTTAGATATTAAGCATAAGGCGATTTACATAATGTTACAGTCATGTTACAGATTCAGGGTAATACGTGAATGTCATTGGTTTTACCTTACAGTTTGTAACAATTCACTTAATGCTACAAATTTAGTTTTTTAAGTACGTGAATGTTGTTGGTTTTACCTTACAGTTTGTAACAATTCCCTTAATGTTACAAATTTAGTTTTTTAAGCACGTGAATGTTGTTGGTTTTACATTACAGTTTGTAACGATTCACTTAATGTTACAAATTTAGTTTTTTTTAAGTACGTGAATGTTGTTGGTCTTACCTTACAGTTTGTAGCGATTCACTTAATGTTACAAATTTAGTTTTTTAAGTACGTGAATGTTATTGGTTTTAAATTACAGTTTGTAACGATTCACTTAATGTTATAAATATAGTTGTTTTTTTTAAATACTTGAATGTTGTTGGTTTTACATTCCAGTTTATGGCCATGACTCACACAACCGAGGAAATGAAGTTCCAAACGTACACCTCAAAAATTGGCGTCGGCTACTTCACGAAGAACGGCGAGTGGGAGCTACTGGACACTGGGGTCAACGCGACCGTCATCTACGCGGGATCTGTGTACATGTCGTCAGTAGAGGTGGGTTCACAGAGAAAATTGTGTGGTGATGTAGATACTAAATCGACGTACGAACTATTAGAGATATGTGCTGACAGAAACAATAGCCTTGCATAGGCTATGTGTTTGCTTTGTGTGGGTCCTCTTCAGAGTTTCTTCCAGGCATCTCTTCCGCCCCCCCCCCCTCCCCAACCGCACGAAATGAAATTTATATAATTTATATAGAAAATATATACTTTTAACAGTGTCCGCCCCCCCCCCCAAGAAAGTTTACCGCCCCCCCCCCCCCCAAAAAAAATTCAAGTGCCCCCCCCCCCCCCCCCGAAAAAAAAAAGTCTGGAAGAAACACTGGTCCTCTTTATCTTGATCAGTGGTTGTTAAACTTTTAGGAAGTACCGGACCCCACTTTTTGGAGGTACCGGACCCCACATTTTGGAGGTACCGAACCCCACTTTTTGGAGGTACCGAACCCCACTTTTTGGAGGTACCAGACCCCACTTTAGGAATAACCGAGCCCCACTTTTAGGAAGTATCGAGCCCCACCTTTTGGAGGTACCGAACCCCACTTTTTGGAGGTACCAGACCCCACTTTAGGAATAACCGAGCCCCACTTTTAGGAATTATCGAGCCCCACTTTTTGGAGGTACCGAACCGCACTTTTAGGAGGTACCGGACCCCACTTTTTGGAAGTACAGAACCCCACTTTTTAGAGGCACCGAACCCCCACTTTTTGGAGATGACGAACCCCACCAGTTTTATATGCGCTTTCACCGAACTCTTCTTAATAGTTATATCGTAGGCAATAACAAAATCCGTTCGTGAATCAAATGGGTCGGGTGTGTCTTGACCGCGCCGAATCTCGGAGACTGATTCACCGAACCCCTGGGTTCGATGGAAACCAGGTTCAGATCCAATTATTTTGATAGATCGCCAAATGCTGTCTTTAAAAGACTTATTCAAACATGTTGCTTCACAATATGGATGAAACGTGCACATTTCGGGTTAAAATAATAAATTCTGTCTAAGTATCGATTTCTGCCGTTATACATGTTCCATTGCACACTTGTAAATTTTTGGAAAAAAAAATATTAAATACTTTTATATCCTTATAGCTCAAAATTAATACACATTTTATTTTTTAAAAGTCATTTTCTTGAAGTTCTTTAGTTATAATCTTACATAAAATATAACTCGAATTTGTAAAGAGTCGTTTTTATTTTTACCTTACCAAGTATTAATTATTCACCAGGTTAAGTTCATGATGAAGAGAAGACCAAACTTTCTACTCCTAAACATCATACTCCCTGTTGTGTTTCTGTCATTTCTCAACCTTTTGGTGTTTGTTATACCAGTAGACTCAGGGGAGAAGGTCGGATACGGTAATATTTTAGGAATTATATAAAGTCGAAAGACGTTTGTTAATTGAGCATTTTCTTTCATTTTTTATGAAATTGTAAATCACATGAGAATTTCTTTCACATACGTAATACACCTTTACATGATATATTTATATTTATTTTAGTCAACGTTTACATTGTTGTTGAAGATATACAAAGTTTAATCCCTTAACGATATTGGGGGTTACTGGGGCACCACAAAGTGGTGTGTCCATGACTAAGTGTCACATGACAGCTCCCACCCATCTCCATGCCTGACCACAGCCAAATGATTCCATCTAGTTGATAGCCTGACTCAAGGACACGTCCGTTGAATTCATCTAGGAACTCTTGAGCAATGGCCAGTCACATTGAAGGCCATACGCCAGTGAGGCAGTGTTAGCATAATTTGATTTATTTTGGAGGATTTTGTTTTCTCCTAGATGGGTTGCTGTCCTAAGCTATACAGGGGGACTGTACACAGGAAATCTCCGTTTAGACTTATAGCATTAAATTACTAAAACTAGTATATTATATTTACAGTTAAGTGCATTTAGATTAAGGAAGCGCAGACATCTACTTATGTTTTTGTCTTTTATTGATGCAATAATATGGCATGTTAACACAATACTTCCAGGCATCACAGTCCTACTGGCACTGTCCGTCTACATGAGTATCGTCAGCAACATGTTGCCCAGCTCCTCTTTATCTACTCCAAGGCTCACCCTCTACCTCTTTATCCTCCTCATCATATCTATGTTGACAGTCATCGTTAGTATCGTCATCGTCTTTCTACACAACCTAGAAGAGGTAAGATTTTGTTTTGATATACACACACATATATATATATATATATATATATATATATATATATATATATATATATATATATATATATATATATATATATATATATATAAAATATATTATATATATATATATATATATATATATATATATATATATATATATATATATATATATATATGTATATATATATAAATTCTTATGAAATAAAAAACAGTCATTGACTCACTAATTGATACTTTTCGTGATTCTAGAAAGAAGTAGCGCATCTGAAAGCAAAGGCAAATTTCAAATCTGCTTTAAAGAAAGTTTCCAACTTAAAAACTGCAACTGCACGTATGAGCAATTGTACAAAACCACAAGGGAAACAATCACTGACAGATGTCTTGTCTAAACTTGAGGATGTCAAATTGCAACGTGAAGAACCTGAAGATGTAGAAACAAAGGACGAGAATCCACAAAAACCCAAGGGAAATAAATACAAGTTAATCGGAAAACATATTGACCTGATTTCCTTTCTTGTGTTTTTTATCATTTGGTTAGGAGTGACTCTTGGATTCTTGTTTAGTATCGCCTTTTAGGTTGTTGTAAACAAAATATATTTTTAAAATCACTATGATATTATTATCACAATCTTACATTAAATATATCGGCCTACCTCAAGATACATATGATTTTGTTTACTTTGTATTATTATTAGCTTTTTAAAAATTTTCATTATGTTACTGAATGGGTTTTTTTTCTGGGTTTGTGGCCAATCGTTTAACGTTCATTGTCCAGATACGGTTATCTCCGATGACAATGCAAGAATATATCACTTTTAATCGAATTAAAATTTAATTAACAAATTCCTTTAAAATATTTTTTTTCAATATTGGCTCCATTGTCAATAGACGATTTGTTGATTGTGCATCGTTAATCCATTTACAAATCCTGGGTTCTAAGATGAGAAGAGCCAGATATTTCCCATGCATTAGGACATCTTTCCACACTGCTGATGGACTCAATGCCCAGCTGTGAATCAGCGTGTCGCGGGAGCTTCCAGAAAGGAAACCAGAGTTAGAATCATGTCGCCTAATGGGCTCCACTCTTGTTTGTTTCGGAGTTTTCTCCTAGATTGGATAGCTGTCCCCATCTGTCCGAGGGTTCGAACTCCAGCATGTGCTTACCCACCAGAACACACAAGATTACTTTCAATTATAATAATAATAATAGGGGGAAAATCAGATTAAATATTAGTTATTGCTATAACAGCTATCTGAAAGTTTTCTTAACGGCTGATTGCTTAGCCTTAACGTCGATCACCGATAAAGAAGGGATTCAAAGCAGGGGGGTAGCGAGGGGGGGGGGGGGGGCGGGGGGGCGGACCGCACCGGGTGACACCATTTAGGGGGGGTGACACCAAAGCAAAAAAATAGCAAAATATATAGAAAAACTTGAGGGGGGTGCAAATCGAAAGTGTGTGTGGGGGGGGGGATGCACATCGAAAACTTGAAAGTTTGTCCCCGGGAAGGGTCGCTACGCCTCTGGGGGGGTGACACCATTAAGTTCCGCACCGGGTGACACCCGACCTCGCTACTCCACTGATTCAAAGTAAATATATTTAGTTGTATGTGTTGTCGAATTCGTTTAGAACAAATTATTCAATAGTGGAAAAACTAAAATAAGTAGCCTGTATTTATATTTAAATAAAAAAAACTTCCTAGTAACCAGCTTTTCAATGCACTAAAAATAACAAAATAAAAGCAATTGCCAACTTTGGTCTCTCAGTTTTATTAGTAACCACACATTTAATTTACAGCGCCAGTTTGCCTTACCTCCTTGTTTTCAGTTTGCTTGAGAGGACTGGTACAGATTTACAATAATACTTCTACTTTTTGACATGCACTTATATGCATTGAAATTATTGTTTATAGATAAAACAAAACTTTATATCGGATTGGGGGAAAGGCGTGGTCTAACGTTAAAGCACTACACTGCTAACCAGAAATACTTTAGGGAAACAAAGGTAGCTAGCCATAGTGCTGGCAACATTATCCCCTTATATGGCGAGGGAATTTATACTAAATAAATCTACTTTATCTGCCCCATTTGTCTTGGGCACAAACGGGAAAAAGTGATGATATCTGACTGTGGATGTTTTAATAAGGTTCATTTTAACAGCATTTTAGACTTTTCTATTAAAAGCATAAATTTGGACTAAAGTACGTACACCTGTTCATGACAAAATGTCTGCTTGATGTCACTGAGTTCAGTAAATACTAACAAGTTACTGCAGGGGTTCCCAACCTTTTTTTACTCTTGAGCACATTCTAAAATATCGGTAGGGTGGCGGGCACCACCTATTTTAAATCGACAAACTCCTTCCAGAGGCGTAGCGACCCTTCCCGTCACCCGTGGACAAAACTCTCGATTTGCACCCCCTCCCCCTCAAACTTTTGATTTGCACTTTCGATTTCCATCCCCTTCAACCTTTCAATAATGTTTATGAAAAATTTCTGTCTCTGTGGAATAGTGAGAGGCGGGCGCATACGAATCGTTCGGCGGGCGCCATGGCGCCCGCGGGCACAGGGTTGGGAACCCCTGAGTTACTGGGTGTGTCAAGAATAATACGTTAAGGTGGGAAGATACTGACCAAATAATTTCTTCATAATCTCAGACGATGGTGTTTGATTGATTACCCCTGATGCTGTTTCAGATTATAATAAACCTCAAATGTGGCTGTTGTCAAAGATAGTGTTTAAAAGTCTGGGATTGGGTTCACATCGTCATCGTGTTATTATGCGAGAGCCCGTAAGTCATAGAATCAGACCTAAATGTAACTTCAGTTTTCATTACAAGAAATTAAAGCTTTCGCACAAGTACAGTTTAGTGAAGCACTAAGCACACCCACTCAAGCACACACACAGTAATATTTGCTTAAGATTAACCCAGGAATGCCTTGAATAACCCCATGAAGATGTAACCGCTGTGCACTCTACATTTTACGCAGCATTTTTTCCTGTCACCTTCTGTTTACTCTGTGTTTCCCCCACTTCCGACACGCATGAATGAACAGGTACGGATGTGTGTACACCAATAAAACGCATAGATTTGGTAACAACCACTGATGCAGAAAGCTTTCGAGTGTAGTAAGATTTTGCACTCGCTATTACGGCTAAGCAGTGTAAATAGTCGTGATGTTTACTACACAAAAGTTGAACACTCTCGTTACTGTGTTGATATTTCTCCTGCAAATGTGTAGAACTCTAGGACAGGATTATTCGGCAACTCTGGGTTTATTTAATGAAAAATTGAGTAGCTCGAATTATAATCCTAAAGTGAGACCCATACTGAACCAGACAGCTATTCTAGAAGTTCAAGTGGGGTTCGAACTCGTGTCTATAGTGGAGCTTGATGACATCCAGCAGAGTTTTACCTGCAACGGATTTCTTGCTTTCCTCTGGAAAGATGAGGTATTTTTTTTCGCATTAGCTATCGATATTAATTAGAAGCAGATACCATTTGTGCCATTTAGTCAAATATAAACCAGTAAGATTTTGTCAGCTTGGAAATAACGGATATTATTTGTTTTTAAATATTATTGAAGTAGGACTTTCTATTGTATCATCATAAAAACCAAATACTAAAATAAAGAGGAAAAAGATAAATCTGTTATAATTACCAATCTCAAATTGCACTAAATTAATATTATATAATTACACTACATTTATTTAAACTAGAATAAGAGACAAACACTCTAGAATTCTCAACAATAATTATCATCTCACAGCTTAACGATTAGCTTATGAAAACCATCTTTATTCCTACAACGTGTAGTACACAGAACAATTACTCTTATATTGACAAGGTTTTGTGCTTAGATACACTACAGGTTTCTGGGTAGCAACAACAGCTTTTACGTGTTCATTTTTTTTCTTATTTATTTACACTAATAGATAGTGTTTTAGGTTTTATATGATATGGATAAAGGAAAACTGCACACAAAAATGTGCGCTAGGGCATTTTGCTTTTCTAACTATCATTTATAGGCATTAGCAAAAAATGATCACATGTACATTGTAGCATATTTAAACATTTTCAATGAAATACGACAAAATTAAAATGAATTAGTATGTTTAATTTGTGTGCAGTTTTCCGTTGCGCAGATTTGCGTTTGCGCATTTTCTGGAAACTAATGATTTTTGTGTTCAGCTCTTGGTCTGGAACTCCAGCCAGTACGGTGGTCAAAAATTTATACATCCGGTCCCAGAGGACATCTGGAGACCTCGCGTTGTTGTGATGAATACTTTAAAGGACAGAGATCCCTTCAAGGATGATTACAGGTGAGTGGGTGGATGGCAGTGAGACCTTATCTCAGCACTCAAGGGAAAGTGAGACCTTAGTTATATACCGGAATAATTTGTGATAGTAACCACAAAATGACCCATATCCAAATATTTCAGCCCTGTGTTCGTGACGAACGAAGGTTGGGCTTCGTGGATACCTGGCTCGCTGTTCCCCACTTCTTGTGAGCTGGACCTAACCGACTACCCATTTGACCACCAGACTTGCACCATACAAGTAAGATGGAAATATTTTTGCATTAGTAGCTTTGATCTCGCTACTGGTAAATGATTTTGGAAAGTTTTAAATTTGTGTACAACTACATTTAATTATGGGACGGAGTTGTCAAGCGGTAGAGAGCTGGACTTCAAACCCGTAAGTCTCGAGTTCGAATCCGGGTTCAAGTCAATAGACCGTCCCTGAGTCCACCCAACTCTGATAGGTACCTAACTCACGTTAGGGAAAGGCGGCTGGGCATAATGCTGACCACACTATCTCTTCAAATGCCGAGGTCACAGAAGCAAGTGAACTCTACTTCACTTGCCCCATAGACCGTCAGGTTTGAAACTTTATTTTACATTTAATTATAAATTAGTAAAGATTAATCTTTAAAAATGGCAATCCATCCGACATGTGAATTAGAGTTCAGATGTTTCTTGACCTCGGTGTGTGAAAGAATAGTGTGGTCATCACTTTGCCCAATGGCCTTTACTTTTCCTAACATGAGTACCCTTCAGAGTTGGGTGTACTCAGGGACATTCTACTAACTGGACCCCGATTCGAACTCGAGGCTTTATGGTTAGTGGTATAGCACTCTACCGCTAGGGTCATGTTGTCCTATTCATTTAAATAAGTGATACCTAATTATATGAAAATGTAACTACCAGTATCCTCCTTACGCTTTTCACCATACTCTCTCCCAAACTTAACATAGATATTAAGATTAGAGCAAGTTCGAATAAGTTACGATTTACTTGAGATTTAAATGTGAATGGTTCAGTTTTTTTCTACATGATGGTTGTTGGTTTCACCTTACAGTTCGTCGCCATGACACTGTCCTCTGACGAGATGAGATTTTACACATTGTCCAACAACATTGGCTTGACCTTCTTCACCAAGAATGGCGAGTGGGATCTGGTGGACACAGCCATTAACACGTCAATTCTCTACACGGGAACTATTAATATGGCTTCAATAGAGGTGTGTGACATGGTCGACATTATAATTTGTTCATTTGTAACTTATTTTGGTCAAAGCGTGGCCAAGCGGTAGAGCGCTAAACTGATAACCAGAAAATTTCAAGTTGAAATGCAGGTTTAAGTGAGGGACGTCTCTAAGTCCACCCAGCTCTGATGTGTACAGAACTCACGTTAGGCAAAGTAAAAGCGGCTGGGCATAGTGCTGACCACACTATCCATTCGTATGCAGAGGTCACAGAAACACGTGAACTCTACTTTACTTGCCGCATGGACCGTCAGGTTCGAAAAGGGAACTCTAAATTTTTACTTGTCGTCAACGCAACGTTTGACCACAGGTGGTTTGACCCCATCTTTCCAAATGTAATGAAGTAATAAATTGCGTGAATGCTAAGGTTAAAGTTAACTAATTTTAAGATCACGATTTCTTATACGAGCCTTCAAGGGCTAAACTATATGTAAGCCCTGCTAGGGGGGGGGATACCTAATATCTACCCTTCTAGGCTTAACTACTGTCCGGTCAGTGCAAGCCCGGATAAACCCAGACTGGTTAATAACCTAACCTTAGTCTAAATAAAATACTAAAATAAGACAAAAGCTTTAACAGATAATATAAAATTTATTTAGCAAAATATGGAACCAAAAGTTATTATAAAAAAACTAGGATCTAGATCTAGATCTAGACAAAATAAAACGCTCAAGACATACAAAACAAACAGAACTCAACGAAACAAAACACCCAATCTCGGACCACCGTCCTAGAAAGAGGAAAAATAGACAAATCAATTAAAAGTTATACACAAGGCAGTAAGCTGACACAATTGTCAGCCTAAAGAAGAGGCTCTCATAAAAGAAAGTAAAATCTACAATAATCCATGACTTAACCCAGGCCATCGTGCTACCACGTGGTCTGGATAAAACAAACATTGAAACTTCTCAAAGTCAAGACTAAATAGATCTAGTATATAGTCACTTTGTATACAAAATAAGCAAACAAAAATATGGAAAACATAATAAAACACTATAAAAATAACCCTACGTTACCATACACCACATAAACGTGACACAGAAACTCTTCAACACACAGGCCTCGACATTCCAGTCGAATGTCCCTCCCTGTCGACACACCACATTCACGAACAAAGAAACCAATACTACGAACAAAGAAACCAATACTACGCACAAGAAAATAGTCCCTAATACAATAATAAGTAACATTCAGGATATAAAGCAAAGTGGAGCCACACTCCAAAACAAAGTTTGCATAAATAATAACATCAAAATATAAGCAAGACACAATAACCAGGCTATCAATCATTCTAAAATAAAAAATCATATCAGCGCCATAATAGCGGACTACTTAACTAAAAACCACAACAATCCTAAAAGGAACACAAAAAGTGACATTCACCTTTTTAGTTACAAATAATTATAATAACAGATATACACTCCAGCCGCTCACATATAAATCAGATCGATCACAAAATTTGCTTTGTCAAGAATAATCATATCGTTATGCATATCTGAACAGAAAGTTACAGTTAATGGTCGAATCAAAATATAAGATTCACTTGTCACAGCTTAGTTACTGTGTTGTCCAAGTATATTACTACACTACTTCGATTCCATAAATGTTACAAAATCGTAAATATAATAAATTACGATTCATTTTGTAAGAATTTTTTTAAAACTCCTTTACTGTAAGTAAAATTAATATAATGCAATTGAAATAAATTATAATTTAATATTTAAGAAAATCTTTATTTATAAACTTCTACAAAATATAACAAGCATTGTAAAGTGCAATACATTATATTCACAACAAGCATTTATTGTTCACCAGATGAAGTTCATGATGAAGAGAAGACCAAACTTTCTACTCCTAAACATCATACTCCCTGTTGTGTTTCTTTCATTTCTCAACCTTTTGGTGTTTGTTATACCCGTAGACTCAGGGGAGAAAGTCGGATACGGTAAAAGTTTACAAATGCTACTAAAATTAACAGTCTTTCTGTTAAGTTTTATCAGTAAGACGTCAGTCTTTTATTTAGTTATGGCCTATACATTTCCATCAAAATTTAAATCTCTAGAAGTTAGAGCCACAATCTCCAAATAATGTAGATATCAAATCTCCAAATAATGTAGATATCAACTTAAATTTTAAATCATTTTATTACTATTTGTATTTTTGTTTGTAGGCCTTAAATTTAATTAAATAATCTTAATCTCTTAAAAGTAAGTGCTATAGTGTGTTACCACAATACTTACAGGCATCACAGTCCTACTGGCACTGTCCGTCTACATGAGTATCGTCAGCAACATGTTGCCCAGTTCCTCTTTATATACTCCCAGACTCACCCTCTACCTCTTCATCCTCCTCATCATATCAATGTTGACAGTCATCGTTAGTATCGTCATCGTCTTTATACACAACCTAGAAGAGGTAAGGTTTCGTCTTGATATATATATATATATATATATATATATATATATAGGCCATATATATATATATATATATATATATATATATATATATATATATATATATATATACATTTATAAATTTATAAATATAAGGAATAATAAAACAGCCTTTATTTAATCTATTGATATTTTGAATTTCTCTAGAAGGAAGTAGCGCATCTGAAAGCAAAGGCAAATTTCAAATCTGCTTTGAAGAAAGTCACCAACTTAAAAACTGCCACTACCCGTATGGACAGCCTTGTAAACAACGTTTCTAAAACTCAAGGGAAACAATCACTAACTGATGTCTTGTCTAAGCTTGATGATCTCAAATTGCAGCATGAAGAACTACAAGAAACAGAAACCAAGGACGATAACTCACAAAAACCAAAGGGAAATAAATACAAGTTAATCGGAAAACATATTGACCTGATTTCCTTTCTCGTGTTTTTCATCATTTGGTTAGGTGTGACTCTTGGATTCTTGTTTAGTATCGCCTTTTAGGTTGTTGTATTCAAAATAACTCAATGTGGTTAACATATGAATATTACTGAAAATTTACTCCTCTAAATAAATTATGCGCTACTTTACTATTATAAGCATAGTTGTTTTTTCATTTGTCTACTGTTAAGTGATTTGGCGTTTTCAATATTTTTTTTTAATAATTGTAGGATTCCTTAGAAAAGAAAATTAGGATTTCTGTGTCATGCAGAAACCCAAGATCCCAATCTATTATTCTGGTTAATTTAATTAATTTCTGACGACTCCCTCAAAAAATAGTTCTATTGTCATTGACGGAATTGTTGTTGATTTGGAAAATAATCTCAGTCTCCCTATTAATTAGCGGTTTAGTATTTAATTGGAGTAGCTTTTGGGATGGGAAATATAATTGGCCCTGTATGCCATTGTTTCAGTAACATTATACAGCCATCTTTACTTTTGTAAAGAGCGGTTTACAAAAAAATGTTAACACAATATTTATGTAACCATTTACCAAATCAAATCACAGAAGCCTTACAGTAATTAAATACACGTTATTACTTTACTCTTAGACAATGTTTAAAATTCAAGTCTCGTCGTGATAACACTGACTTTTGCCACAGTAGATACATCGATGTCATGATATAACACATGTTTCTAAAATATAACTAACTGCCTATGTTTATTGACATGTCTATATAGTGTAAAAACATGTTTTAAATGTGTATACAAACTATAATATTGACGGCGTGGTTGGATGATAGAGAGCCTGATGGATAACCAGAAAGTTCTCGGATCCAGTGCTGAACAGCTGATCCCTTCATGTGCCGTAGTGAAGAAAAATAACTCCACTTGATAAGCTGTATGGACTTCTACGGCGAAAGTATTTTTTTTTTCTTTTTCTTTATGTATTTAAATGTAATGTATAAAGTCAGTTTGGTTTTCTTTATGTTTTATTATCGGGTTGTGAAAACTGATACAGATTAACAATAGCAATACTTTTTATTACATGTATGGGGGCCTACTTTCATTCATTAAATATTTTTATTGATACATCATAAAAATTCTAATTAATTGTGTGTGTGTATGTATGTGCGTGTGGACTAGTGGGGGATGTGTGATGGTGAATGTTGGTTGAGGGTATGGATTTACAGCTGTAGCTGACCACGCCTAGATAAATGGGCTTAATCCTGATAACTTGTTTCACTATTGAAGTTTTAACAGGTGTCCATTGGGCAGCTAAATGGGATAAGGATCTCTTCTCCTACCTGTTAGTTATGTATCGCTAGAAACAGTCAACGTGGTTAAATTAACAGTCCTGTTGTTTGCATAGGTCTAACATAGAGTTCTTGTATCTACCTCAATGAAACCAGCCTCTCGTTGCCATTGACGAAGTTCAAATAAAATATTCTTGATGCAATTTTAATCACTCTTAAATTTCGTTCAACGGCACTATTATACGCTTGTTCATTCGATGTAATCCACTTCAAGTATTTACCTACTTTTTTCTCAATCTCAGTAGAACGTTTTACCAAATAGTACGAACATTCCGGCCAGGGGCGTAGCGAGGGGGGGGGGGGGCGGGGGTGCGGACCACAACGGGTGACACCATTTAGGGGGTGACACCAAGGCAAAAAATAGCAAAATATATATAGAAAAACTTGAGGGGGGGGGGGGGGTATGCAAATCGAAAGTTTGAGGGTGGGGGGTGCAAATCGAAAACTTGAAAGTTTGTCCCCGGGAAGGGTCGCAACGCCGCTGGGGGGTGACACCATTAAGTGCCGCACCGGGTGACACCCGACCTCGCTACGCCACTGATTCCGGCATATTTACATAAGCCTACCTAATGCAAATAGTCCCATTACTTGTATTCGTTGGATTCACCTACCGTTGACTCAAAGTTAAATATGCGTCTCCATGTAAAAGTACATGTGTATCATGATGTGGTTAAGATTTTAAATCAATTCAATAAATTGTAGAAATAATCTGTAATTATAGTCTGTTAGTGTTAAAGAATGTGCGGCATTGTAAAGAAGATAAATTAACACAATTGTATAGTAAAGTTCCTTTTCGGATCTGGGGCAGGTGAAGTAGAAGTAGCTTTATTCTGGACCCGACCCCTTTAAAAGGGGAATTCAGAAAGTTAACTTCAAGGCAATGATAAAAGATACTTAAGATGATTCCCTTCTAATGTAGTTAGGCTAGTCTTTAAATTAATTTAAAAACTATTTAATTCAATAATAAAAGGGGGATAACAAGATTAAATACTAGCGATCATTACTTGCTCAAGAGTCGAAAGTAAACTAAAAAGAAAAAGATAACTTTCGTTTAGGGATTGCAAGCTACTGATGAGGTTTTAAAGTAAATATTTGTAGTCGTAGCCGGTGTGATGTAAATTTAATCTAGAACAAATTACTAAAAATTTAAAAAAAATATTAAAATATTGAACCCTTAAAATTATAGCTTTTAACTGTACTGAAAATAGGAAAATAAAACAAACCTGATTTATTTGGTAAAAGCTTTGGGCGCTAAATATGTAAAAAAATCGTATTATTGGCAAATTCCCTAATAGAATAAAGTTAGATTAATTTATTTTATCAATTTCGGTGCATTTAAATTGAGTCAAACTTTTGCTATTAATTTTTTTTTAATCCACCAAACATCAAATACAGGTATATTTTGTTATGAGTTATGAAACACATATAAACGTTCACACCCAGTTATATTTAGTTAAGATTAAGTCAGTAAAGTCTAGAATAAAAGCCTGATTATGCAATCAGTGTGTACTCTATTTTTACCCGGCGACTATTTACTCTGTGTCGGCCGAGTCAGCGACACACATGAATGACCACCCATAGACTCGCGTACACTGACACCTATAGATTCAGGTAACCACTGAGGCTCAACGATAACAACTACAGTTAGATAGAGTACTGGCAATAGTGGCGAGTATAGATCCGAACAGTGTAAATAGTCGTGATGTTTACTACACAAAAGTTGAACACTCTTGTTTCTGTGTTGATATTTCTCCTGCAAATTTGTAGAACTCTAGGACAGGAGTATTCGGCAAATCTGGATTTATTTAATGAAAAATTGAGCAGCTCGAATTATAATCCTAAAGTGAGACCCATACTGAACCAGTCAGCTGTTCTGGAAGTTCAAGTGGGGTTCGAACTCGTGTCTATAGTGGAACTCGATGACATTCAGCAGAGTTTTACCTGCAATGGTTTTCTTGCTTTCTATTGGAGAGATGAGGTATTATTTTTAGTTTTTAACTTTATTAACTATGTAAGTATGAAGCAGATAATACAAATACATTGTGATTGAGTGAGTAGTAGTGACAGGAAGTCTATATGCTATATATTAATTCGTTTTAGTCGTGTTTGATATCATTAAAGAAAAGTAGGTCTGAAAATAATGAATATTTTCTTATTATGTTTGTATTGCAATTTGTGACAGCTATAATAATAGTTATGTTGTTTTGACTGTCGTTAACGTTCTGCAGAAATTTTCCGAGGAAGGGGGGGGGCGGACACGGATAAAAGAATATTTTCTACATCAATTCTAATTCCTTACAGGGGTACGGTAGTCTTTCTTCCCGCCGACCAAAAAGTTGCCCGAAAGAAGCTCTGAATGCGACTTTTGTCAAGTTGGAGCTTAGTATGAATGTGCAGTTACTACGTGTAGGTTAAATCCGGTTAAATTTCCGATTCTGGATTTTTAAAAATCTGTTTACAATGACTTTTTTTCTTTTCTTGTTAAATTTGAAGTTGATGTTAGGATTTTGGTTTTGGTTTCTGTTTAGAAAACAAGACAACACTATCAACCTAGCGCCCGTTGTATTTCTCCATCAACTGATCATTTATCTAGTAATGTTATATCTGTACAAATCCAAATTATGAATTTTAAAAAAGCAGAACAATCATTGAATTAATTATTGAATTATGCGTTATAATAAAAGGCTTTAAATTGCACTAAAAATAAGAAACTAAACCTACGTTTCTATTTCTAACTGGTGTCTTGTGCTAGAACCTGTACGTGGCATGACAGCTATAAGGTTTACATAAGCTGAGCAGGGGTCAGACGAAAGATAGCACCCTGGTCAACCAGGATGGGGTCGGGACTAGCAACCTTACATCGTAATAATAATCATTAAAAAAGTTTTTAAAAACCCACGTTTTCTGATTGAACTAAAAAGTACAAAATAAATGCTATAGGCCCTACATCACAATAATGCAAGCGATCACTCTACTATAAGCGATCAAAAACGTGGGGCGCCGAAGTAAAAGTTATATTACTATTGATTAGATAATACTATTGACTTTTATTAGGGAGCTTGTAGAGAGTCAACAGTATTAGAAACTGTAAGAAAATCACGGCGCCCCACGTTTTTGCTCGCTTATAGTAGAGTGATCGCTTGCATTATTGTGATGTAGGGCCTATAGCATTTATTTTCTACTTTTTAGTTCAATCAGAAAACGTGGGTTTTTAAAAACTTTT